ATTCAGAGAAAGTATCGTAGAGCGCTCAAGCGTGTTCTCTGATTTTTTGTAACGCGGGAGGCAAACATTTGCCCCTTTAACCCCTTCTGTGCGTGCCAAAACGCTGATTCGCTTAGGTCTTTGGGCGTAGTTTGCGCGCAAGGGGCCTGCGCAGTGCTCCCCAAAGGTACTCACCAACTCCTCACCCATGCATCGCATCACATCGCATCACACGTTGGACTCATCATATTAATGGTACCACCGTATATTCAGCGCATCTTTTGCGCGGTATCTTCATGAAGTCGTGATAACCGAGCAGCTCTCCGCCGGAAGGCCGGTACAAGACGTAGCACTACGCCACTACTCAAAGTCGGCGCAGATACCCATTGTTGTACTTCCACAACTGCTCCAAGCACACCGCAGCAGCAACGTACTTCCAGCTTCTCAACGTGCGGTAGTTCTCCCAACCATCCGTCTCCAGCGCGACCATGAAGCACGCAATGGAGCGCGGCAACGCCTCCGAATCCGCATCGCCGTCCCAGTCTCCATCACCCATTACTATATTCTTGATCATGTCGCTGACATCGCGATTGAAGCGTTCTTGAACCTCGAGGTTGGCCTCGCGAACGTAGCGGGATGGTGCACGATCTTTCTTGCCAAGGATGTTACCACTAAACACCTCAAGCTCGGTAAGACGTGAGCCTCGAGACGGACGATGTGTGTCCATAATTTCGAACATGTTCTCTTCGTACGCTTCACGGAGTTGTTCTGCGAAATCCCAATGGTGTTCCCATTGTACTCCACGGGTCTCTCGGATCACATATCGCTTGAGCTTCTGTACCAGCGTTTCATCACCCCGGCGATGGTGAGATGTTCGGTAGGCGTTCTTCATCTTATCGAAGAACGTTTTTTCGTCGATCCGCCGGTACAGAACTCCTAGGACCTTTGTGCTTGTGTAGTATGAACTCCTTGGTTTCTCAGCATTTAGCACACTCACTTCGTCGAGCTCGTCACCCTCAAGCTCCTCGAGTTCAGCAGCGCCCAAGTCGTTGACGATGAGGTTCGATCCTGGCGCCATGAAGTCAGGGCGGATGTGATCAGAACCTGGCGGTATCTGAGCCATTTTGGCAGGAATCCCAGATTTTCCAAAGTCGACGGCATCGGATGCGAGCTTGGCAAGAAGCAGGCACTCTGCATCTAGAGTGCCAAAAGGAGCCTTATCAGCGCGAATCTTGTGTTTGTTCGAAATCTGTCCCAATCGATCCATGTTCATGTATTCGATAAAGAAGTCAACGATATCGTCGGCAGTTACCGGCCGCCCCAAATCCTTTGCCGGCGTGGATGGGTAGTCGGCGGGTTGATAAACGATTCTCGGAATCAGTCGAGTGTCGTGAATGATGTGGAACAAGTCTCCATCAAGATCACCGCCACTTAGCTTCGAAGGTAGATCCCGCGGACCTTGCTGTGAGAATACGACGCAGTTGTGCAGTGCTCTGAGGGGCGAACCTTCTGGAACATCGACTGCTTTGACGACCTGAATATCGCCTGGATGTAGCGCAGGGGCTCTCGTGATGACTATTCGCTCGCCAACGAGTATGGTTCTCTTCAGTTTGTCGTTCGTATCGTAATCTTGTAGCGGAATGTAGACCTCGCCCTCTTTCAGAATGTTCCATTCGTCCATGATGCCATAAAGGAGGTAGCCGTTCTTGATTGGAATACGCGCGCGATATTTGATATCTCTCAGGCTTGACATAGCTGCCACTTCCACGATGTCGGTGAGGAAGCTGTCCGCGTGGAATGATAGACCCATTTCATTCATTCGCCGAAACAGTGACGGGACTCTCGCGAGATCACCCGAGTGGGAGTATTCTAGCAGGCTTGTTAGCACATATGACCATACGTTCGGGAAGCACTTCATGGCGATGCCGCCGAGTATGAGGAACCAAACATCCTTTCAGGCCGCACAGCATGTGCTAGAAAACCGGGACTTACCGAGAAGGCTGGCTGCATTCAGAGGATGCTCCGTCATGAGTTTCAGTTCTGTGACAGCTTCATCCTGGACCGCCATGAAGTTTTCCGCAGGTATACGTAAATCCTCAAGGATCTTGATGAACTGGTGGTTCAGATATACTCTGAGAGGCTTGTAGGCAGCTCCACAGATTTCCAAATCCCTCCACTCTTCTTTGGCGACGTATTTGGTCATACTCTTTCGGGCGTGCAGTTGATCACCTTGCAATGTCGTATCTAGTGATAGTACGCCCTTCGCACCTCTGAACCGGATCTGTAGCACCGTCGGCCTGAGTGCTCTACGGTCCGGTTGGAAGGCGTTCCAAACTTTTTGGAAGAGGCTCAATGACAAGGTTCCGCAGCCGTCACTGAATGTGCGGTTGTTTCTCGTGACGTCGTCCTTCATTTCGTTTACATAGGCGGTTTTCGAGATTGGCACCGAGAATGTTGTATCTAGATGTCGAGGTACAATGTCAGCACACATCTCACATACGTTTCGTACCGAGTTGAACCCTACCGGAGAACGCCTGCCCTATCCTCGCCGCGCATTTTGCGGCGCAACGAATCTGGGAAAAGTCACCCAAATCGCGAATGCTCAATGAAGTCAGTACAAGTCCCACACGCAAATCATACGTACTTACACATCTCTTGCGCGGACGACAATATCATCTTCCTTGAAAGGAGCCATAAACCAAGCTTCATGAGTACGGAGTGACGCATGGGAAAAGCCAAGAAATTGGAATGTATGTCCGGCGACCGTGATACCCGTTCGAAGTACGCCTCGAAAGCGTTCGTAGACTCTCTCTTGCGATGCCCGTGGGTCATGGAATACCGGCAGCTCGTCCTCATCTGCGAAGAACACGCGCATGAAGAACTGGGCGTGGGTTTTGTACTTCCTCAATATACGATTGGAGACGACCCAGTCAGGGCCGCGTAGCAGGATACCTAAAATATGACTTTAGTGTTGCAATTCGCAGTATTGGAAGTCTACATACCGGTAGGTGTGACCGTAGCCTTGTATGTTAAGGCGAGGTGATTTTGCTTCTTCTGTTTGACGTCCCAGATCCGGGAAAGCTCTTCAAGACGTTGACAACATTCGATGCTTTCATCAAGAATGCGCTTAATGGTCTTGATCATAAAGCTTTTCGCTTCAACAGCTGGTGCAGGCGTTGGTATTCGCTTTCCTCTGCGACTGACTGCGTTTGAAGTAAGATCTGCCGCCTTAACCCCCGGTGTAGGCGTTGGTATCCGCTTCCCAAGGAGACGAACTGCGTTCGCGGTGAGTTCTGCACCATGCTTCTCAGCAGCATTTTGTACTACCGGTATCAGTTCCTTCATCTTCCACGGGGCGATTGTACCCTCTAGCATGAGCGCTGTCAGTTGGTAACGGATATTGAACGTGAAGGTCTGCGGAAAGGATGGTCCATAGTCGCTAAGCATCTTGTTGACGACTGCATACTCGTGTTCAATACTGCCCGTCAAAGCGGTGGGCTCCATGGTCTTCATCCATTTTGTGTTAGGTCCCGCGAAGAAGGGCTTAACAAAGGTCCAAGCAAGATCAACGCTTCGGGTGTCGGAGAAGGCGATCTTGTAGACCATACACAAAGCGGAGTTCATGTCGTGAGATTTACTCAATTTGCATAGTCTTTGTAGCCGAAGAACTGGTTTTGGCGGCTTGATGCCGAGTCTCGACAATGCGGCAGAGATGTCGTTCGGTGCTTGCTCACCGGCATACAAGTGTAGATCATTAGTCGATTGAATGTCGTAGAACTTCGGTGGAGACTTGAGGGTGAATGTTATCGTTCCATGTTGGCCATTGCCGCGAGACGGAACGATGTGCTCTATAGTAGCATAATCAATATCAATCCTGCAATGCCAGTTGAAGGCTTCGGCGGTTTCTGCCCGGAGGTAAATCTGTAGGGGTAAGCATCCGTACTAACATTGACGTGTTCGATGTAGAAGGATATACCTACCACTAGAGCATTCTTGCCGAACGTAATGTAACCTTGCCTTTTGTCCTTGAGCTTCTGGTCAAATACGAGCTTGCCAAGGTGATCGTAATCCCAGACGCCTGTCATCAGGGTACGGAAAGACAACGTCGACCCTCCCGGACGCTGAAGTTTCGCGATAGGCGTCGGACTTTTGAATCTTTTGGCCTCTTCTATCTCTTGCTTCTCTCTGAGTGACTTGAGTTGGAGCGGATCTTCCCGACGCTTGTTACTTTGGCGAAAGTCGAGCGGCTGATTTCCAAAATAAAGAGGTTGCAGCGCCTGGCGTCGGCCCTGACTACCGCGTATATCCAGAAATCGATTCCCACTGCTAACGCTCGGCACAGTGAGAATGGCGAAATCATTGTGTTGACTGGAAAACTTTCGAACGTCGAATGCGAACACGTCGACGCTGTGGAGAGCGTCCTGAAGGGTGTAACGTAAGAGGACGTGATTGGCGTCATTGGGAACCTAATGTTACGGCATCTGGTTAGCGACTGCTTTCCTATTCGCGCCCAGCGGTTACTAGCTCAGGTATTGCTTTGAGCTTACTTTCGGAATATAGATGTCCATCTTGAACGACGGTGTTACCTCGAAAGGCTGGCTCACCAGACGTGTGAGTGATAAGCTTTATTGGCACTCCGAAGTCGCGCGAATTGAGGCAAAAGAGTAGACAATGTGAGGCAGGAAGCTACAGGTCGCTGCGAGCTCGCTGACTGGGGAAGTGGGGATGGCGCTAAGGGGATTGGGCAAGACGCGTGCTCACGTGCGCGTTGCGGGGTTACCTTTCACCTTTGAATCTGAACCACAGCAGACCGCTGATAACAGGCACGTAATTGTACTGTGCTGCTTAGTCAAAACTGCAACCATTGTGGATGTGAGAGAATTCGGCTCTGCTGCCTAGTCCTGTACGACAGTCGCGTAAAAAGGCCCGCATGCGGCGTGTCACCATGCGACAGGTCGCTCTGGAGGAGGGTTTACCAAGACGCATCTCTCCCACAAAAGGCAGCGATCATCCCGCGCTATTCACGACTCATACAACACAGCCATCCGCATCTGTACGTATCCCCACGCGGTTACAGGCTCGTACTTCTTCGGCTTCTCTTCATCCCAACAACCTGGCAACGCATCGATAACTGTATCCATATTTGGTGTCGCGAACACAGGGATTGAGTAGCGATCTGGTACTACTATCTCCCTGTCGTTCCGTTTGCCGTCTTCAGTGACCTTTTGAAGGACCGGAGGTAGGCCAACACGATGCACACTGCTTGTCCAACGATCGTTGCTCCATCTCGCCATGAGATCTCCGATGTTGACCAACACAGTGTCCTCGATGGGCTCTGCAGCACGGAAAGTACCTGGGTTCGCAGGTTCCTGTACTTCAAGTCCTCCAACGTTGTCCTGGAATAGCAAAGTGAGCGTGCCAAAGTCGGAATGCGCGTTGATCCTGCTGCGCTCATTGTTGCGTAGCTGTTCGGCGTCGATGGAGGGGTAGTGAAGAAGCCGGAGTTGGAAGAGCGACTGCGAATGGGTTGGAGAGAGGCCTGGTGCTGGAACGTTGAGAGCAATGGAGAGAGCGTCGAGGATGCTGTGGATTAGACTGGCGCACTCGACAAAGTACTTCTCCATGAATGCGCGAAAGCCCGGAAGCTTATCTTCTGGAAGCCAGATATTTGGCTGAGCCTCATCTTTCACGTTACCAGACTCGAAGGACTCTTTATAATCAGGCGTCTGCCTCTCATTAGCTTAGACCATGGAGAGCGAATATGAATGCAACTAACCTCCCTCAGCTTGTTCAGCTCATTGATATCATAAACCCCTTGACTAACCTTCTCCACTCCAGGCGCCGAGTATCCACGATGATGACTGCCACCCGGCGGATGCGGAGCCAGCATCTTGGTCTCAAGCGGTAGATCGAAGAACTTCTTTGACCAAGCAAAGCACTCCTCCAGCAGCTCCTTCCTCACGCCATGGTTCTTCAGGTAGACAAAGCCCATACTACGGAATGCATCGTCGATCTCCTTGGCGATCTTCTCCTGATCCTCTGCTTTACCGTGCAGGAACGCGCCGAAGTCGACGATAGGTATGCCGCTCATCTCGTCGATGGCAAGGATTAGAAAGTGAGAAGTGGTTGTGACGGAGAAATGAACAGAGAAAGAGGCAGGTGCTGACTCGCGGGTTGCTTCTATTTTGGGTAGATAGGTAGGAACGGCAAGCACGCAGTAGTACAGCGGCGGGGTCAGGTCATCGGCACTGCGGGGTACGTTCAGTTGTCGCGAGATGCAATGAACGAATCAGCGTGCGTCAGCGCAATGCGTCTTAATTGTGAGGCGTTTCTCGATACATGCTTCTCCTATAGGATGCATAGAGTAAAACTGCGGCGAAGACCGTTGCCAAGCACGTGATGCTTCCTCGAAGCTATCATCGAGAACCAGGCCAACACCAACCTTAGAATGCTATGCATACCAGATGTCCCATATCCTACCTTTCGTCCTAGAATGCTTTGGTGATCCACCCGCCCCATGACCATGCTACCATACCCAATGCCCTTTGGTTCCACCGCAAGTCCTTTCGCCATCAAGAATCATACACGCCCGCTTCCCATGGAAGCTTACGACTCTCCGAACATGTCTGCCACGCCTGCCAATCCGGGGCTGGTACCTCGGACTATAGTCGGCTGTTGATCCACACTCATGTACTGCTCCATCATGACAGTCCTGGCCTTGGTCTTCGTCGGTCTCTGGATTTTGCCTTGCTCGTGAATACTGACACCCTTGATACTGCTCATTAGATCGAGTACGATGCTGCGCTGCATACGTTCGTCCGACCTGTTCGCTCCACGGAGCTTTGCCAGACGGCGGTCGACGCGATACGGGTCACCCATGCCGGGTAGAGACAAAATAATTGAGCGCGGTATATCCTCGTCCAGATGGATAATACCAGCGATGAGTGAGGCGAGTTCCTTTTGGCAGTCCACAAAGTACGGCTCGTGGAGGGACGTGATGGCCGATTTGAGGATGTCGTTGCAGAAGTAGTCCCGAATGGGCGACTTCTCCTTGAACCGTGGGAGCAGGGTGCGCAATACGCGAACCATGGTGACAACGGATCTAGTATCGCGATAACGTATTGTTGAGTTGCAGAAGAGGAGGATAGGCTCAAGGACGGCAGGCGTTGAGAGAATGAAGTCGCACATGGGCGGTGCGTTGGCTTCTTTTCGACTGTGTTCATCGTGACGGGCAAATTCTGTGACCAGGTCAGCTTTTAGTCATAAAACACGATCAAGAGACTCGGTACTAGAACCGATACCCGCACGTAGATAGAAGTCGCGAAAGAAACACCACGAAGCACAATAAATAATAGACGACTTACCCTGTCTCGAATCGAGCAAGACAGCGACAAGCGAAACCGCAGCATATGTGAGCTGTCGTAGTATGCTCTCAGTCTTCATCTCGTCCGTCAAGTTGTCGTTCTGCCCCGAATCCGCCACCTGTCGGGCAACCTCGTTCCATTCTCCGGAGACTTTTCGATCCAGCTCTCTGAATAGCCCCTGTATCATGGGTGGCAGGAAATGTGGTCGTAGACGCGCTGGGCAACCTTCAATGAGATGGGTGGATACGGTTAGTAAGACAGATAGATGATGCGCAGTCAGAGCGCCTGCGTGGCCAAACAGGGCTTGACTCAACGGGCCTGGCAGATCTTCTATTCCATAGAAGAAGTCTCGAAATCGCGTTAACGAGTAGAGGATGTAGTACGAGCTCTCCCTAATCTGCCTTACAGTGCCTCGTACCGTCGATGCAAAGCCCTCAAACGTCGACTTGGAGCCACTAACTCTTGCAAAGAAGTCGTCTCGGCTCTCTGTCGATATGCCCGCTTGCCAGAACCGATCAGTCAGTACTCTTCGAATAACCTGCTGTAGTTCTACTGGCAAGTGTGACCAGTTGGCGTCGATATCGTTGAATGCTTGTGCATGGCTCACGAGCTGGAGAAGGTTTGGGAGCAGCACTGGTATGGCCTCTGCCCAGAGTAGCGCAGCAGTCTCGTACGCAGCAGTGCCATCGCGAAGCTTTTCTGTCGATGCTGCCAGTAATGTCTTTGTAAGTCGTAGTGGCAGTTGTTGAGAACGGTCAAGAATTGAGGCCTGCAACGCCTGGCCATCACTAGGCAATTGTTGGTCAGACCAGTCCTGAATGCCGCGGAAGTTGTTCGCAGACAGAAACTCGGGTAATTGGCCCATTCCCAATACGCCACAGAAGGACTGGAATGAAGAGATGGCTTGGGTGAACTCATCGTTGCGCCAAGCATCCTTGACACGGTTGAGCATCTGTCTCATGCGCTCCTCTTGCGTGGCGCGCTCTAATGTTGTACATCTATGTATGATGATGAAAAGGAAAGCGGAGTATGCCATACGTTGGCGTTCGTCAGTCGTAGGATCGTTAATCATCTCATTGACCTTGGCCTCTAGTTGCTCGTAGACGTTCATAAAGTCGTCAGCGAATTTCATCGCTAGTTTCTGCATCTCAAGACTGCATATGCGCTCGAGGTCTTTCACAGCATCGGAGTACTGTGGATAGTTCGTGTCATCGGCTAGCCGTACTGTAAGCATATACTCCAAGAAGGTAAGAGCGAATCCTGGGCGGTCGCCAAGGGCTTTCGTTGAGAGAGTTGCCATTAAAGATATTATCTTTCTCGCAACTTCAGGATCTTCGAAATGCGCTTGCAGGATTTGCCTGCCCCACTGCTCGAGCGAGTCTTCCAGGGTATTCCGCGTCCGCTCATCATCTTGCGCGTTTTCGCCTTGCCCTTGCTGCCACTTCATGTACCCCTTGAGTGCAGCTTCGATGACAGTGACCTGCGCATCGACCTGAAGGACTTGTGGAGAGTTCTTTGTGAAGTTTTGGCGCTGGAAAGCAGGCTGATCATGGTACAGGTTCTGGAGCATGTTCGTCGCCTGAGCAAGGATATGCGCCATTGCCTCTACTGGTGTCTTACGAACCAGGACTTCGATCACGTCTGCGCAGAAGCGCCGATAGTTGCCTAGAAAAGCATGACGTTCCGGTACTGTATCAATGTCTTCGTTGAGAAATTGTAACGTGACGTCTTCGGTGTCTTCGGGTAACGATTCGTATCGAATGAGTCGGGCGCAGCACGTCTCAAGTAGCCCGCCAACCATGGAGTTGACGACATCAGAGTCTCGCACGATGCTAGATCGTAACAGCTTGGTCCAACAATGGAGAACAGGTATGGAGACGACGAGACTCGGGTTGCGCATAATGTCGTATAGGAAACCGAATATGCCGGTTAGGTCGCTGCCATCTGGTATCGATTGGGGCTTTTGCTCGATGAATAGTCCGAGGCTGTTGGCCAACTGTCATCATTAGCACGGTGTGACAAGCCTCAAGGATGAGAAAGGGCCTTACTTCTGAGAGTCTCTTGCAGAGCATGTATTTCTGATCATCTATGTCATTCACATCCATATCCGTGAGCGTCCAGTTGTATACTTCTCGCAGGAGTGAAACACTGCCAGGTGTGAACATGGGGCATACAAGCTCCACAAACTCGTCGTCGTGCAGGTGGGTTCGGTTGTAGATCGCTTGGAGGGTCTCGACGGCGGCCTGTTCGTGTTAGCAGCTGTCCATGTGAGTGGATGTAAAGAGTCGACATACAATCTGCATCTCTACGGCTGGGGTAGCCAGCGCCTTGCAGACGGCCTCGATGACCTGTGTTGCAGCGATGGCCTTGGGCATAATCCACGGCATGGCCGCCTTGAGGGCCTGCATAGACTTGATAGCGCTTGTCTTGACAGCTTCCTGGTTCTGGTAGTCCTGCCCCAAGCACCAGCCCAAGTTGTCGCATAGCCTTTTCAGCCATCCTTCGTCTCCACACCGCACATCCAGACTCTTCTCGCGTGTAGGGAGCTGGTCTTGTATGACGGCAAGCGGTGTGAAAATCTCGACACAGGCGCGACCCAGGTCACTGCCTCGAAGGCCTGCCGTCGGGTCTTCGCGATTGAAGACTTCCTCAGAGAGCGTTTCCAGTACGTATAGCACGACAGCCTGGTGGTGCAAAGAACTTGTCCAGAGCGAGACCAGCAGTTCGTCCATATCCAGCCACTCGGCGCCCCAACTGCGCTTCGCAATCTCCGTCCATAGCTGCGCGACCTTGTTCCTCAGGAATGCCGCATCGTCTTCGGACACGTTTTGGGCGAGCTCGATCGCATAGCCTCGTAACGCTGTGCCTTGGTCCTCTGTGAAGTCCTCCCAGCTGTATTTTATCGAGTGCTCCAGCATAGTGAGGCCATAGTAGCGGAGGGGCGCGGGTTGCGAGCGGTCGAGTGCGAGCGTGTGACCATGTGAAGGCGCTTCCGGGTGCCGTTTCGCTTGCTCGAGGTATTCGGTTGCCTGCCGGCGGGTATCATTCGTTGACGAGGTTGCGTATATGGCCTGCAGCGCTTCTAATATCTGTGAGAGGTCTGAGTCGCCGCTGCCGTTGGACTGTCGGTGTTGCGCTCCACCGCCGCCATTCGTTTGCGGGGCCTGGTCTGCCCCAACGTTCATCGTGCAGAGGGCGTCTCTAGCCTCGGTATATAAAGACGTGAGGTCAGGTGAGTCTGGCGCGAACTGCACGGGGATATTGTAGCAATGTCGTGTGCGTCGTGTTCTGGATTTCGAAGATTCGGGCGGAAGTTGCTGAAAGCGGAAGACGTAGAGGGCAAGGATCGTGGGTAAGGAAGCTTTGGCGCCCGGTGTCTGGGACTGACCAGAGAAGATGGCGGTGTAGCGAGCAAGCCCAGATTCATTGACTCACAGGCCGGGACGTGGTACGCTTTATTTCGAGGGTCCAGCAAGGCAGTCGAGGCCTCTATTCACGTCGCACGTTCCACAGACGCGTTTTGCAGGCTGCAGTCCCAAAGGCACGTCACGTCGACGCGATGTCAGCTGCTTTGCCGCCAGAACTAGGCTCGTCGCTTCCGAACTAGTCTATATCCAATACATGTATCGCTATATACAAAATCATAAGTCTATCGTAAATGCTCCCCGAACACCTTGACGAGTACAGAAAGTCGTCCAACGCTCATGTTTGCCCAAATGAATCATATGCACAAGAACTGCTGACTGCGTGACCTGAGCATCGCATGATATTGCATCACCGTGCATCGATTGGTCAAACCCCACCACACCAAACTCCGACACCATCAACTTTGCGACATTACATGACAGCGCAAGTCTGCTTCTGGCACTGCTGGAGATATCCCTCATCTTCTTCCGTGCCTAACGCGCTTCCCGCCTTTCGCACGACGCCTTTGACAGTCATGACCTGGTCACCTTCCGCGTGCCACCACCGCAGCGTCTGCTGCAGCGCGCCGTCGGTCTCCTCGGATGTGATGGTCCACTTGCCACCGCTGACCTCGACATTGGTTTGCCCTGACGGAAAGTGGAACTCAGGCAGGTAGCAGACCGTAGGGAAATCTTCCGATGTCGAGCTTGGCGCAGAGAGGGCAAGCTTGAATGTGCAGTTCTTGAGGTCGAACCCGTACGACGAAATTTCCCCATGGACGGCAACGGGGGTGGGGCGGATGAAGGCCTCTGCTGCTCGCAGACCGCGAACGTCGTCGTCATCTTTCTTTGAGCTCATTCGTTCTGCGGTGATGGTCTTCTGCAGGTTGGAAGGGTTAATGCTAAGGGTATCGGTCGACTGTGCTCTCGAGAACGTGGGCGAATTCTTATCTAGCGACGCACGGGAGTCGGCTGGCGAGAAGGGGCCTGCAGGGACCGCCTTGTCGTCTACTGAGTAGATGGAGAGATCCTCTCCGTTCCACAGGTCGCCCCAGTAATGGCAGTTCTGGTCTTTGTCAGCCGTGTCCAATCCTAGACAGAACGCAAACATACATTTGCGACATAGGTCCACAGGGCGAAGCCGTTAGCTTTACTGTCTTCAAGCGCGAAGTGATTGGCATCCAAAGCAGCTATCTGGCTGCTGTAGTTACCTGTCTTGTACGCATACTTGTCGTCCATATCGTATGGGATACCGATCTCGGTGAAGATACAGGGGTGGACACCCGTGTACTCTGTACCTTCGTCTCGGATCGCCTTCAGCTGGTGGGAGAAGCAGTTTCTGATGGCATTCTCGCCAATCTTTATGGCGAATGCTGGCGTCAAATACTTTCCTCGCAATACACCAAATACGTCAACGTTCCATACGCGGTTCCTGTGTGATATTAGATGAGATGAGGTGAGAGCAGTGTTCTGGAACATACCACTTCTTTGTGATAAGAGTGATGCCGTCGTAGAAATGCGGCGAGAAGATCATGTTGGGATCATCGTCTTCTGTGCCCTTGACCTTTGGCGGTATCTCCAACACTGGCGGCTGGAAGAACATCAAGGAGTCCGGGAATATGGACTTGACCATTTTGCTGTACGCCCGGTAATGCGGCAGCCAGTAGTGGTTTGTGAAGTACTCGTAGTCAATCTTGGCCCCATTTTTGGGATCAATTCCGAAGTAGTCCTTCTTCAAGACCGTGTCAGTCGCCGGGTCCCAGACACCGTGTTGCGCCCACAAGCATTCGCCCAACTTCCACCCTGGGTCGCGTTTCCAGCCGTATTTGGTGTCGTCGTAATCTTTCGATAGCCATGCCATAGTGCCCTCGGGGTCCACTAATGCCGAGCCACTCTTGTATGGTCCCAGCCCGCCAAATTCCCAAGTCGATATCTCGCAAGCTCTACCCGATCCGGTAAGTATCGCCTGCCAAGCCGTCGGTGAGGTGCCCTTCTGGAGTTTCTGTTCGCTCGGGATCTGGGTAATATCCTGGTAGCTGATGAGGCCTCTGTTGGGCTCGTTCATGCTTTCCCACCCAACGATCGGGTCGTGCCACAGGTCGCCTGCTTGGTGTATCCGCTTCGCTAGATGCTCGCATGCCCCGATGTAGTGATCTTGGAGATAGTCCTGGACATTCTTTCCGTCTATGATGGCCTTGGGCGCGAAGTCCCTACCACCAAAGAACAGCGTCCACATGACCTGACATACTAATCGTGTGTAGTTGGTGGTCCAGATCATCTTAGGGAAGGTGGCAGGGTCGGGGTATGTGTTGTGCACGAGGGCGGCTTCGGTGACGGCGAAGTTCTCGGGGTCCAGCCCGCAAGCATAGAGAGTCCACATGGGCGCGCCAGAACCTCCAGAGAATCGTGACCACTATGTGATGCATTAGAGAAGGAGTAAATGAATCTATTGGACTGCTACCTACGACGTCCTGGTGAGGATCCATGAAGATGTAGAACCCATATTCCTTTGCCTTTCGTAGCAACGCGATAGTGTGGTCTATCCACTCCTCGTCGTACTTGCCCGGGCCCGCGTGCTCTATGGCTTCCCACGTGAAGACATAGCGGATGGTGTTGTAGCCCCAACTACGTAATCGCGAGAAGTGTGTCGCGGAGTCTTCTAACGAGAAGGGTCGGTTGACAAAGGAGACATTGTCGCCGTCGAAGAAGTTGTCTGGAATGTGTGACGGCTGATCTGGCTTCGCAGGAAACTTGGCGTCGGCCGCACAGTTGATACCGTGCAGGGTGACTTCGCGGTTCTGGGGGTCTCGGAATATGCGTCCGTCGATACGCAGCCGAATGGGAGACATTACTGGTGGCAGGCGTGTGGAGGGTTACGGGGAGAGTGAATGAGAGGAACAGGAAAAGGTGCGCAAGGCGGGTGCGAAGAGGAGCTATGAGGTATGCGCCTGTCTAGTCCTGATGGCGTAGCGGCGGCGTTCACGGGCATGCATCTGGGCATGTCGTAATCCATGCCTGCCCGCATTAGCGTTCTGGGGGTCGCGGGGGTCAGTGCGTCCCGGCTATCATGCGGCTGGTCGCTGAGGACAAGTTGCAATTGTTCGACAGTGAAAGGCCAAATAAAGGCACGACCCGCTCTTTCCATGAACTGACCGTCGCTCCTGCCGTTGCTTCTCTGCGCGGACTATACTCCTGCTTGCTCAACATCCAACCTACCGTCACTCATTCATAGCACTTCCAACCGCATCCCGCCATGATACTCCGACTATCCTCCATTGCCCTCGGGCTCCTGCCGCTCGCCAGCGCACTCTCCGCCTCGGACATACCCGTGGATACTCCCGTGTCGCAGCTCATCAAGGACGCCAGCGTCCAACTCGCTACCGGCAACACCCAAGACGCCCTTCTGTACTTCGACATCGCCATTACCCGCGACCCGCGCAACTACCTCACCTACTTCAGGCGCGGCGCCGCTTACCTGCAAATCGGCCGAACGGCGCAGGCCCAGCATGACTTCGACAAGGTGCTGGAACTGAAGCCTGGCTTCGAGGGCGCATTAGTGCAGAGGGCCAAGATCAGAGCCAGGAAGGCCGACTGGGCGGCAGCGCGCAAAGACTACGAGGCTGCCGGCAAGACAGACGCGATCGCGCAGCTGGAAGAAGCGCAAGGCGCTGCCATCATGGCGCAGGAGGCGGCAGAGAAGCGCGACTGGGACGCGTGTATCTCGAATGCTGGAACTGCCATCTTAGTCGCGGGAGGAGCATACGACATCCGCAAGACAAGAGCAAGGTGTCGCTTCGAGAAAGGCGAGGTCGCCGAGGGCATCAGCGACCTGCAGCATCTCCTCCAGATCAACAAGGGCGATATCCAACCCCATCTCCAGAGCTCCGCCATGGCCTTCTACTCCTTGGGCGAAACCGACAAGGGGCTCAAGCACGTCGCACAATGTCTTCAGTCAGACCCAGACTCGAAGGTCTGCATGAAGCTACGGAGGAGAGAAAAGAACCTCGACAAGGACATTCAAAAGGTGCGCAAGTTCTTCGAGAAGCGCCAGTTCGCCACCGCCTCGAAACTCCTCATCGACCGCGGCGAAGAGGACCCGGGCCTGTTGAAAGAGGTCAAGCAAGACTTCAAGGACTACACCGAACAAGGCTACATCTACGCCAACTCACCCCAAGGTCTCTACCAAACCCTCGTGGAGATGACCTGCGAAGCATACGTCGAGATGAACAACCTAAAGAAGGGCACACCATACTGTACCGAAGCCCTACAACTCAACCCCGACTCGTTACACGCCCTCCTTCACAAGGCTCAATTCCAGCTTGACGCCGACGAATTCGAAGACTGCGTCCGAACCCTAGAGCACGCGAAGGAGCACCACCAGAACCAGAAGCTCGACGAGTTACACCACAAAGCGCAGACACTGCTCAAGCGCTCGAAGACAAAGGATTACTACAAGGTGCTCGGCGTAACGCGCGACGCAGACGAGCGCGAGATCAAGAAGGCATACCGCAAGCTGACCAAGATGTACCACCCCGACAAGGCCTCGGCCAACAACATGACACCCGAGGATGCGCAGAAGAAGATGTCCCAAGTCAACGAAGCCTACGAAGTCCTTTCCGACCCCGAACTCAAGGAACGCTTCGACCGCGGTGACGACCCCAATAGCAACGAGCAGCAACAAGGCAATCCGTTCCAAGGCTCACCCTTCGGAGGCCAACAATTCATGTTCAGACAAGGTGGAGGTGGTGGCTTCCCCGGTGGCGGCGGTAGCTTCAAGTTCCAGCAGGGCGGCGGCGGATTCCCGGGTGGTTTCCCCGGTGGATTTGGCTTCTAGACTATTGCTATTGCTTACTTATATGACTTGGAGTTTGGGAGCATACACAGTGGGTCAGTCATTCACATGGGTAGAAGATTCTGGCGTTTTCCACTGTATGATATCGTTGCTTCGGCTGTATTGAGAAATGAATTATGGTAGCTAGTAAGTGAGAAGATACCTCTTTCCCGCTATTTTTTTGCCCTTCTCGTCCTTGAGTCATTTCGAGCAGTCTTCTCTCTTTTACTGCCGTTTCTGTTCAATCTCCATGCCGTGGCCATTACGAACAGGCTCATTTCCTTTGAGTTGTCCTCAAGCAGACTGTACCGTGGAGGTATTCGCTGCGCTGTACCTTGTCGAAAGTCAACGCACAGCGCAACGGATACCTCCAGGCTGTAGTGCAAGGCGTGCACCTTACTTGGTCTCGTATGATTTAGGTTTCGCAATCCATGGCCTTGGGATGAAGCCGTCGGGTGCGCCTCGTAGCTCAATGAGCTTGCGGACCAGGTCGTTGACGAATTCGGAACAGGTATGCTTGATCAAGTCGTCAAGACCGAGCCACGATGGTGACGCACTGAAGACCCAGAAGTCTACCAGCAACCGTCGGGCGGGTGAGCCGGTGGGAGTACCAGCGTAGATGATCTGTACAGAGGTGTTTCCAGGGTGCCTGCCGTTGATTCGGTTGCGTCGGATTATAGCGGCGACGATGCTGTTCTGCAATGTAACGTCCAAAATCCGTTCTCCCAGGACGTAGAGTCTTGCGAGGTATATGTAGCACGCCTCGTTATCAAGATGCGTGATCTTGCCTGTGTACAGCCATCCGCAATATCCTTCGAAAACGACTAGATCCACGTCGGACATGTCGATGGGCTTCGTAGCATCTGTGCGCCACTCTGATTTCAACGCGTTCTTAAAGAACCCGGAGCTCTTGCTCAAGGCGGTGGCATGGACATGTAACAGCGTCTCCGGGTCGCTGCCGACGTGAATAGGTACGATGTCGCCTCTCAAGGTGGGTGTCTCGAACTCATCTCCCGCCTCTACCAGGACGATCATGGCGGTAGCTGAAGTGGGCGCGGGGATTTTCACTATCGGCATGTTTGACCTGTCTGCTCATAATGTCAGTCACGGAGAATGTGAGTCGCTTCGAACTTACTTGCAGCCACGACTTAAGCCGATGTCGAAAAGATGAGTTAGTGGACGAATGAGAGGTTGTTGAAGGTGCACACTTGTGGAACTGAGTGAGAGAACATAGGTATCTTCGATTTCGCGCTAACGATCTCTCACTCACCAACCTTGGAAGGTGCAGTCACACACTTCTAGAGCCAGGTGAATGAGACCCCAATATTCCAATTCGTTAATCCATTTCTGACAGAACAGGCGGCTACATATGTGTACGATCTTGCTTCGCGTACGAATCGCACTTAGTCCAGCTTTCCAGGTGAGGAAATTACACATTACTCTGGAGGTATTCACCATACTTTTTGTTGACTTTCAGTAGCCCAGAGGACTATGTATACTTTATAGTACATTATCACTTTTAGCGAGTTCTGAATACAGAAGATGTAATCTCCTACATGCCCCAGAATGCATCAATGACGTCCACCTCCTGGACGGAAGGGTCAGTCTTGTTGGAAGGCTCATCCTCGCTGGCAGATCCATCCTCGCTGGAAGACTCATCTTCGCTGGAAGATTCTTCTTCGCTGAAAATATCTTTCTCACTAGAAGGCTCTTCCTTGATAAAGGGCTCATCTATCAGGGAAGGCTCTTGCTTGATGTGAGCTTCATCCTCGACGTAAGGCTCGTTCTTAACAAAAGCTTCCTCCTCAGCGAAAGGCTCACCCTTGATGGAAGGCTCAGAGATCGCCTCGTCGCCCCTGTCTTCCGGTGTCTCGCTCTTGATCACGACACCCTGGTTGTAATAGGAACTTCGTTGCGAGATCCATGGCCTAGCTTGGGAAGCTTCAGGCAGTCCTCGCCTGTCTAACAGTGCCGGTAAGAGGTCATCCAGAAAGGGTTTGTTCTCTGGCGCTCGAAGTCTCGTCTTCGTGACCCAGGAGGAGTCCATGTTGAAAGCCCACAGATCCACTAGGAGACGTATCACCGGGGCTTTCCTCGGAGCGCCCTTGTAGATGATTCCGATAGCTCCCAGATCAGGTACTTTGTAGCTCAGGCGCTTTTGAATCAGTCGCGCAGTGATATGGCGGTAGATTATGGCGTCGACGACATCGTTCTGGAATGTGCGGTCGATCAACTTTTCTCCCAAGACATACATCCGAGCAAGGTAACTGAATCCATCGTGATGGTCTAGTTTCGCGTCAAGGACTCGAGTATATAGCCATTGACAGTATATTTCGAAATCATGAGGCTTTTCGTCGGACAGATCGATGAACCTGCAGAGGTACACGTACGGAGTCAGTAAATGTCTCATATGTATGTATTTCGTAAAGCGATATCTTACCTGTGAGATAACATCGACTCGTGACTAATGGCTTTTCTGAAGTATTCGGAGCTGCTGCTGATGAGATCCTTGTGTACGTCGACGATTTGGAGGCCGACTTTGACTGCGATAGTCTCGCCCGAGACACTGAAGACGTTAGATGCCTGTTGTTTTAGGAGACATAGGTGTCGATTCACTTCGGTAGCTTGATGGTAAATGCAGCTGAATCACATGAGTCTGGGGAAGCCATCTTGCTGTAGGCTTCCCGCTCCTCGTTAGTAGGTAACAGCAATGAAGTGGTTAGTTAAGCAGGACAGTGGTTTGCAAGGTATTGGTCCGAAAGTGAACCCAAATTGCGACAGAACAGGCATAGAGCACGGACGCTGTAGCCTAAGCTGATCCTCAACGGTTCGTAGTGAAAGTGAGTGCGAATTTGTCTCAAAGAGGAAAGCGCGCCTTTCTCTCATATTACCCATGAATTCTTCCGCCCTCGGCACCATACAAGTCCAGTATCCCGCCCTCTTCCTTCCCGAGGTCGATACGCTTCTTCAGCCCTCTCAATATCTCGACCCTTTGGGATGTCCGTTTCAGTCTCGCCACCGTCTCCACTTCTGCGCCTTCCTCGCGAACTGCGCGATCAAATATACACTTACACCTTCGAAGAATCGGAGCCCTTTTTGAAAAATCGAGCTGCAATCACGACATCAAGCAAAATCGCGCTCTTCCACGACCTCCCAACCTTGTGTCAAGCCAACCGCCAACTATTCAACGAAGCCACGCCAATTTTCCTCGCTCAGAACCTGTTTTCATGGAACACTCAAGAGTCGAAGCAGCTCCTAGATCTGTTTTCTCATCTACCTGAAGATGCAGCATCCAAGTGCGTCAAGCATTTCTCAATATACAATTGGACCGAGCAAGGCACCCCCACGCACCTGGAACTAATTTCCAAATTCACCCAGCTCGAATTCGTCGAAATCATCTTTAGTTTTCCCAGCATTGAAGATGGCGTGCGCATGGAGAGGTTCGATTACACCAACGAGCAAGAGTGTTATTTAGAAACTGGCTTGCACTACGATCTTCCCGAAGGACGCAGCCTCGAGGAAGAGAAGGCGAGTCTTGTGCAAGACGTGGAGACGTTTGTCGGAAAGTATGGTCTCGATCGCATCATCGATATGCCCAAGCTCGACGGCATGCAGTTCCAATTTGCAACGAATCATGGTGAAGAGGATGCTTTTGGCGGGAACCAAGAGTATAGGCATCGCTTGTGCAATCCGTTGTGGAGGTGGGCGACGAAAAAGATGGAGGAGAAATGGGGAGCTGATAAGTTTTTCGTCACGACTACGATGCCGGAGGACTATCATCGTGTGAACAGGCCGTATGTCGGGTGGTGAGCTTACATGGACCCTAAGGTCTGCAAAACTAATCGCACTCTGCGTCGTAAAAGTATCGGATATCTCACTACTCTTTACGAATTCAAACTTCTTGCAGCTGCTTGTCATACCCGTCTGAGTTGGGCTCGACGGCTGCACTCCACTCGGCGCCTTCGAGGACCTATGTATATGAAAGGCAAGTGGCGTCTGCTAGGGTCAAATTGTGACAACAGTGTATGATTGTAATCTTTGAGTTATTGACAGCGGCCTGCTCCAAGACCTATCAGAACCGCTCATGGAAGCCCTGGCCCTGATCTCGAGGTACCTTCCCGACTATAGAGTATCTATAGACATCTCCGGTGTGATTGTAATAGCTCTTAGTCGGAAGTGTCCATCAATTCATCCTTCGCATTCTCAGTCTCTTTCCCCTTGTTCTGTTCCGCCCTCAAACGGTACTGTTCAGGAGCCACCACCCACGGACTAAGTTTCCGATTGATAGGATGTTTCGTACAAGAACGAATGAAGCCTTTCACCAAGTCGTCCACGAACTCCACGCTGGTTTCCTCTACAAGACTTCCCGTAATATTCCAGTCTTCATCGCAACCGTATACAAACATATCAACCATAAGTCGGCGTGCTGGAGAGCTTGCACTACTGGTACCCGAATAGATGATGTTGATAGCGTCTTCTGGAGGAAAGGAGTCCCTTTCTACTGCATGATCGATCATAGCGGAAAGAACAGCGTTCTGGAAGGCTTCGTCAACGAGTCTTCCGCCTAAAACGTACAAACGAGCAAGTTGGATGTGTCTGCCCACAAGAGGCCGAGTGACAGCGACCTTTCTGCTGTAGAGCCAATTGACGTAAGATTCAAAATCTTCTGGTTCTTCGTCCGGCAGGTCAATTTGTTTCTTTGAGTTGGCGCGCCATCTTCGCTTCATGGCGTTTTTGAAGAAATCAGATGTCGCCGTCAGTGTACCGATGTGGACGTGGAACTTCCTTCTGCCCACTTTGATAGGCATTGGCACGCCTGAGACACTAGGCGAAGTCAGTAGGGCCCAATTCATTATAAGTAATAGTTGCTCACTCTGGAGATGGCGCAGTTGTGTCGTCGTTAACATGGCTCCGGGTTTTCGCGCGTAGTGACATAATGTACACAGGCGAAGTATGGTTGAATAGCTTGATGAGGTCGGTTTTATGGTGGTGATAGTGGGGTTGAGAGTGTGGAACGGGTCTTCCAGGTCGTATATAAGGAGTTTCCACGCAGAGAGTGAATCTTAGGGTAGCATTTGCTGACAAAGTGAGAACCTAAGTGCGGCGCTTGCCCAAAGAGAATACCGCGTGAAATGAAAAATCAATTCACCGAATGTCTTGGTCTCAATACCATTGAAAACTACGAAACTCCCCCTGTTTGGGTACACGTGCTTCCACAGATCGTCTTCACTTTTCGGTGTGAATCACAAACGAGATTTTGGGTTTTCGCCGTTACTCATAGTGACCAACAGCGAGCTGAACGAGACTGCAATCAGTGTAATTCTTACTATTACAGAGAAGTTAAATACAATATTGACATGGCTAATGGTACACAACATACCAAAGGCGTCCACGGGTATCAAGAAATCAATCAGTCTGCCTCTCCGAAGTCGCTATGTCCCGTTTCGGCTGCGTGCTCCATCGCGCCCCGTTCTCCTGCCCCTTTCCAACCGCACGTGTTACACTTGAGATCGAATTTCTGTGTATCGGTGTAATAGTGGGCTTTCTTCAGCTGCCCGCAGAGTTCCCTCGCAGCTTCAAGAATCACGTCGTCTGTCGCATCGAATATCTTAACATCTTGCGAAGGATCTTGCGTGGACGCACCCTGGGGCACGAAGGCGATAGTGTCGTAATGGATACCAGAATACACCACGATACAGCGCCTCGGTCTGCCCTCGTTGAATCGGTCCACCCGGTTGTCCTGGACATTGACACTGGCGATCTCGATGTCAAACTCTTGGGAAAGGATGCTGAGTTCGATGCCACCACCCCACGAGTCGGCATACGATATCCATTTGCAGTACTCATCTGGAGAGCGTTGCAGAATCGCCTCGTTGTACTGTTCCGGGTCTCTTTGAATAGCTTGCGCAACCATCGATCGAAGCTCGGTCATAGAATCGAGAGAATCTGTCAGGACTGCGCTACCAACAGCTCGAAACATGCAGGAGTTGTCGTCAGGCATGACCCGAAGGACCATAGTGCCACCGCGGTCAGGCACGGGAACCTCGGGTGTTTCCTTGAGCGCCGAGTTCTGCTTCCGTTGAAGGGATAGTGGCGCCGCCTGTGATGTGTTTGCCTGTAGTTCTTGCTCCTGCTTCCGTTCGCTCGGGTCACCAGTGGCTTGTGCAATGACTATGATGGATGCGCCGTTCAGCTTGAGATCGATATCCTTCAGCAACGTCGACATGCCGTATAGGGAAGGGTCGAGCGGTTGAGGCGGGTGGTTCCATTTCAGCTCGAAGAGTGGTAGTTCTGTCTTCTCGCTGATAGAGGACAGAAGGTCCGAGACGGCGGCGTTGTCGTCGAGTGATAGTGTGTGGGTGCCATTCGGCGCGCGTAACCGGATGCGAATCGGCATGGTTTGATGGGTCGGCTGGAGAGATAGAGGGATATACGTGTACGGAGGGATACAGGTGAGGGAGCTTCGAAGGCGTGGCGCGTGATGACAGTTGACTGGTGGGGCGACTTAGCGGTGGAGAGCTGCGCTGGTATTAGGGAAGCTGCGATGAGTGAGTTGGTATGAAGAGAGGTAAATCTTCACGAATGCGCAAATATGAGGAGAGCTTTGTTAGGAAGAAAGGATCGTTTGTCAGCTACGGGAGAACGCTACAAAGACGACAGTTTGCACGGATCGGGTGACATGGCTGGCGTACGTGAAGGTTCCCGAATCATGGAGGAGGCCGGCCGTCCCCGGGGATCGGCGAATCTTACCTCCGTCCGGCGTCGCGACTTCCAGCATCCAGGACGCGACACGCCAATACCTAGCGCAAGAAGGATACCGGAACACGACAGCATCGAGTCGACTATTGCAAACATGGCGACCGGACGCGCCCCAAGCTCGACACCGGTGCCCACGACCGAGACGGCTGAGTCCGCCGGCGCGACGTCTACCGTCACGGCGCCAGAATGGGAGGCCATGGCCAACCTCCTCAAGAATGTATACGACTACAGGATCGACGAGTAAGTTTCGACTTTATATGCGCCATGCTGCTCCCAGCTGATCAAAGTGCAGTGGAACATACGACCCTACCAAGCTCTTCCAGCGCAAAGTGAACAAGCGCGCCGTGCCCGACTACTACGATATCATCAAGGAGCCCATGGCCCTGAGTACGATAAAGGCCAAGATTGCGCAGCGAGAATACAAGAACTTTTCCGAGTTCGTACGCGACCTGGCGCTCATTCCCCACAATGCGCAGGTGTACAACAGGCAGGACTCCCAGGCATATGTGGATGCGCTTGAAGTAAAGAAGGTCATCGAACGCGAGCTGAAGAGGCTAGTCGACGATAAGATCGTTCCTGAGACAGTCGCTACCCTGCCGTTTTTGGGAGAGATTCCAGAACAAGACCCGCTGTTACCAGAGGAGGAAGAAGAGGAAGAGGAAGATGACGATGAAGAAGAACTTGAAGTGGACGAGGAAGAGGATGAAGACGAAGAGGATGAGGGCAAGCGCAAGAGGCGCCGCGGACCGCGGTCCACAGCAGCTATCACCAAGCGCGAAGGCGGTTCAAGAGCAGCAAAGGAAGACGCCAAGGCCGACGATCCAGAATCGCGGAAGAAGCGCGGACGACCGCCGCGGGTCGACACTCCCATGGAAGCGCGAATCAAGACCATTATGAAAGCAATCAGGAAACCGCGGAACCAACTCAACAAGCTCATGGTGAGCGCATTCGAGCGCGTCCCGGACAAGACAGTCATGCCCGAGTATCACTCTGAGATCAAGAATCCAATGGCCATGGACATTCTCAAGCGCAAGCTCAAGCGAAAGAAGTACAACTCCGTCGATCACTTCATGGTCGATGTAGAGCTCATGTTCGAAAACGCAAAGCAGTACAACGAAGAGGACAGCCAGATCTACAAAGACGCTGTGCATCTCCAAAAGGAGTCGCGCAAGGTTGCAAAGGCCGAGAAGGAGAAGCCGGATACCGAATATGTCATGGAAGAAGGCCGTATCCCTATGCCCAGCGGCATCGTTCACAACGGAGAGCTGTGGAAGGTCGGCGATTGGGTGCACATTCAGAACGCGAACGACCTTACAAAGCCGATTGTTGCCCAGATCTACCGCACTTGGCAAGACGCGAACGGTGGACAATGGGTGAATGCCTGCTGGTACTACCGCCCGGAGCAGACCGTGCACCGTTTTGACCGACACTTTTTCGAGAACGAAGTTGTCAAGACTGGCCAATATCGAGATCACCGCATCGACGAGGTCGTGGACCGATGTTTCGTTATGTTCATCACCCGTTACAACAAGGGCCGTCCCCGCGACTTTCCTTCTGATAAAGAGATCTATGTCTGCGAGGCTCGATACAACGAAGAGAACCACAAGCTCAACAAGATCAAGACATGGGCCAGTTGCTTACCCGACGAAGTGCGAGACAAGGACTACGTAATGGATCTCTTCGATGCGCCTCGAAAGTTGAAGAAGGTGCCCAGTCCGATCGCGTACCTGCTCAAGGACGAGCAAAAGGAGGACGACGATCTTCCAAAGCCAGAGTGGGGAGCTGAGAATGCTCCCCCAAAGATTGGCGCCGTGCATCGTCGTCCGCGTGACCCCAAGGTAAGTGAAAACTGCTCTAGGCCACCATGAGACCCAAAGCTAACAGTTCTTGTAGGATTCACCACCTCCCGAGCCCACCCCACCGCCGCCTCCGACACCTCCACCAGCACCCGCTATGCCTACTCCAAGCTTACCCACGGCTTCGTCACATGGCTACGACTCCTCGAGGAACTATCCGATTGCGCAAGCGCCGACTCTGACGCCAATGCCTGCCCCTACACCGCAACAGCACCATGTCGCGCCAGCGTACACACCAACCCATGCGACACATTACCATACGCATTCTCAGTCGCCCGCCCCTCATATGCACCCGCAGGCACCGCAAGCACCTGCCTATCAACCTATCACACCACATGTGCCCTTTACACCCCAGCCAGCTGCGCCCATGCAGGGTTTCCAAACACCGCGGGCCGCGCCAGGCTACCAACAACCGTATCCACAGCAACTGCCGCTTAACTACAAGGCCCCGCAACCTGTGGAGGTCTACGTCATGGCCGACCATGCAAACGCCAGTATACCGCTTGAGATCCGCGAGCAGTTCCAGCGTGACGAAAAGGGCCGTATCTTGTTCTTCACCGCGCCGCCGCTCAACGTGGAACAGCCGCTGACTAAGGATGGGCGCGCATTGGGACACTCGGCTCGTTATCTCGCTGCTAAGGCAAAGAAGGAAGCTCTGAAGGCTTCGAAGCGTAAAGCTGGCGAGGTCAATGTCGATGAGCGTGACCAGGCAGCGAAAAAAGCCAAGGTTGATGAGGAGGCAAAGTTCAAGAAAGCTGTCTCGGAACTCGGTACGAAAGCACTAAAGGCATTGGAGGACCAGCTCGCCATCGCTACGAAGACGGATCTGGAGGGTCTTTTCAACGGCCAGACTGAAGAAGGCATCTCCGCGGTTCTGGATCAGCTCACCACCGCGCAGAAGATGGCCGTGCAGCGGGAATTGGAGCGTGAGATACACATCAAGGAGCGCGAGGAAAGTAGGATGACAGCAGTCACCGGTATGACGGCGAGATTGGAGGAGAAGTACTAAGGTACTGTGTACGATCCATTGTATTTGTGATATCCAGTTCAAGGTTACCAAGAGACCACGGCGTTTTGATGCTTGATAGTGGTTCCGCCTCTACATGAGTCTATTCCGGGTATGCTTTGCTAGACTCAATTGGAACTTTTTTCTGTCTGGGCCATCACCAACTGGGCACCTGTAAGCCCTCACAGCTCCCGTCCGTGTAATCTCTTCACTCACTTTCGTCATAACACAGGGGCCTGGATCTTTTAAGAGCGCTATTGCTTTTATGTTGAGGCTCGACTAATTGAGAAACCTCGGGGATTTCGAGTGCTCACTCATTATAGCACCCAAAACGGACACACCAATGCAGCCAGTGTTCTACCTCCTTGAGTCTGGATGCCTTGCTTACCCGGGGCGCATCATCTCTCTCAATACATGCTGGTTCTCTCAAGCCCAAAATCAGCTTGACCTCATGCCCAACGTCGCTGCTTTGTCAGCCCGAGAGTCAGCTAGACTAAAATCCCCAGCGGTCATCAAAGACCTCAGTTTCGTATACCGCCCATAGATCGGTGCGCTCGAGATACTCTTTTCCGTGATCTCTTGCCTTCTCAAGCAAGAAACGACATTTGCCATACCCGTACGTTGTCGCAACTGAAATTGCCGAGGTTCTGTTCTTCCCAACAACTCTGGGGTCCGCGCCGTGGCTGAGTAGAAACTTGACATCTTTTTCGTACCCATCATTTGCGGCCTCCCACAGAATGTTGTTGCCGTCCTTCGTAATACTGTTAATCGATGCACCTTTGTTGATGAAAAGGCCGGCAATATCGTATCGCCGTCTTTTGAGGGCTTGCTGAAGTGGAGTCTTGTCCGAGCACACTTTGTTCAGTTCCACGACACCATCTTCCAGTAGCATACTCCAGATCTTGATCCCGCCTCTTCGGTATAGGCTCTCAAAGGATTGAGAATTAAGGCTGTAATACCTCTTGGTCCCTTTCTTGACGTGCGCCATAATCCCAGGGTTATTGACCTCCAAAACGCGGTACAATAAAGCCGTGTTGTCGTACCTAGAGGCTTCGTTGACGAGCCAGTCGCCCAATTCGTCAGGCGCAAACGTGGAGAAGAACTTGTTCTCTTCACGGAAATCGAACAACATATTTCCGGCGACGTTCTTATGCAGACGTATCGCCGTACACAACGCTCTGCCGATCTTCTTGGCGGCATTCCGCATGTCCTTCCATGAGCCAGAGTCGCGCTTGCCCTTGACGTTGTCCACGAGGTACTTGAGGATGCGCTCAAGCACATTGAACTGATCTGCTGCAATTGCGGCTTTGAGTGCACTTGGCAGAAGATCATGGCTTTGCTTGAGAAGCAGGGCTGGTGTAAGAGTCGGGTTTTTGAAAAGCTCAATATCTCCTGAAGCGGCAGCAATAGCGGGCAACATATCTGCGAGCGGAATTGGCCATTTTTCTTTGTTGACAATATCAGTACCCTGGATATAGGCACGTAGGTATTTTGGCTCGACTGCCATAATGCTAACGCATATGATCATGGTCTGTCTAGATCGAAGTGTAGAATCTGGTTCGGAAGCCTTGACTATATCGCGGATGAAATGTATGACTTGGTTCCCCAAAGTCTCGGGGCGCATAGCAGTCTCGTAGAGAACATCGCTACCATGTTGTTCGAATAGGCGAGTGGATAGTCGGTCATCCAGGAACTTGGCGAGATCCTTTGGGACAGCGGCCGCAATGATACGTTTCTTGATGATGTTTGCGAACGTTTCTGCTCGCTGTCAATATCTTCAAGCATTTGGCTCATTCATTGGACTTACTGCAGATGAGTCGATATCGTAGAAGACTTCGCTGCTCGACGTCTGCAACAGCCGCCAGGACTTCCTCGAAGATCTCCAAGGGCAGATCTAACAACGGCATGCCGGGCTATTCTCTGATGACTATCAGTTATCGAGGGATGTGCAAAGAGTTGCTCGGTGTTTGTTTTGTGAAAGATACTTGCTGAGGTGTCAATTAAGACAATAGCTTTAGTTAGATGTGAAACGCCAGAGCAGTGGGTCAATCCGCCTTCACCTTCGGGTCTTGACTCTTACTTGATGATTCAGCCAGCAATCGCAACGATAGTACTAATGCGGCAGGTGAATACGTAGGTGAAGGTAGCTTTCCCGTCGGCGTGGTATCCGAATCCACCCGCTCTGTTCTATAGGCTTAGCAAACCTAGAGAGACGTCTAGGTACAAATTGTGCTGCTCGCATGATCATGTCCTGACGATGGTTTGTAGTCTCCTCAACATCGTGTGATATCCTGGCAAATACCGACAGCACGTCAGCTGCTTATAGGCTCAACCTATTGATATTAGCGTATTCTTGTCAATGTGCATGCACGACGACCTGTATCACTTGCGAGATTCTTGAAACGCCACCACCTGCTTATTACCATTCCCTGCTTGCCAATCCGATGGTCGGAGATAAATTAAACCTCATGTTTACACCTTCCAGGGAGGGTAACCAGCCATACAACCCAGAGTGAGTTGAGCAGAACTAGCTCGCATCGTCTACTGACCATCAATAGCCCCACCAGCGATACCATTACTGTGAAAGTGGGGATGCCGAATTTCAACGATCGAAAGGACATCTTTACTGTTCAGAAATCCGTCCTTTACAACGATGATCAGTTCCGTGGTGGGTGTTGGATCAATAGCGACAGGACGGTACATCTCAGAGCAAAACCCAAAGACTTCAAGACCTACATGACATGGCTGTACACCCGCCGGCTGCCGGAGCCTATTGCGGACCCAAAGCTGGATACCGAGTCGAACCTGGACTGGCTGCCGACTTCATATGGTCTCGCGCGTAAAGTTGGTGATCCACGTTACCAAGACGTTCTGATCAGTCGGATGATCGAGTGCGCGCGAAGGATCGAAAGCTTCCCAAATATATCGTTCGTCGCAAGCTTATATGACGTGACAGAGGGTCTTGCGCATACGCCGGACATCCTTGGTCGAGATTTGATGATAGATATCTGGACGTGGAAATGCCGACCTGAATGGCAGGGCCTAGACTTTTTTGAGACAGCTTACAAGTTCGCGGGGGATCTGATTTCAGCGTTAATTGCTCATCGCAATGCATCACCAGAGGAGTTGGTGGAGCCATGGGCGAGCTCCCAGGCTGATCGGTATCTAGTTGGAGCAACTAAAGACGAATGATGGTGAGAAGGCATTTTGTTAGAATAGGCTGCAACTTGGGGCAATTTCTTACCAGACCAGCGCGAGAATAAAGATGCAGCAGCTTACATCCTATCCTTGGCAGGAGTTTACTTCGGCTGGATAGCACTATGACGTACAGCAGCGGCTTGGCAAACGCGTGAAGACGCGTCATCCCGCGATTACCCATCTCGGGCTTCCATTCACCCACTTCAACGCATATGGTTCCGCGCATGAAGAGTCATATTTGCACCACTTGATGCTTCCGCAAATGTTGCGATGTGAAATCTTTATTCCGCTATGACCTTAGTGCTCACATGGCGCAATCACAACGACCAGCATCGCTATTCCCACTCGAGGACCATGTCGTCGAACTCACGATACATGCGCCGGCCATTCCTTCGATCTTTCGGATGGCAAGATGCCACAGAATCGTTCGTACATGTCGGCGTCCTACCAATCTACTGCGTCAAGCCTAGCAATACTGGCTCGCGAAGTTAGACAAGGGATGTGCAGTACTTCTAGCCTATGGCGGAGTTGCTGAAGTGGTGTTGTAATGCGAGACGAATACTGGCTCGCAGCGACCATGGTACGCTTGCGCAACATTATGTCCACAATTCTGTCACCTGGAAACCGTGTTGCGAACACCCCAGGCAAGAACTTACCGTACTCGTTCCCAGGTAGGATGGCTTCCCCTGCAAAACGCCCAAAAAGAGCTAATGTTCATAGTGGTCCTGAGTGAGTCTATAAAACTCTGGTAATGGCATTAACTCATACAAAATTAGCTTCACGGGCACAACAATCGCCGTCCGAGTCGAGCATGAGACTTTTCAGGTTCACCAGAAGCTTGCATGTACGACCTCGGACTTCTTCAAAAACGATGCCGGTATCGTCGCGATCGACGTCGAACAGAAACCCATCCGCATCGACGGTCATACCGCGGCCACCTTCAAAACATACCTCACTTGGCTGTATACGAAGCAGATGGAACACGTAGCGGACATAAAGCATGTGTGGCAAACCTTAGTGAGGGCCTTCCTCATAGGGATCACGTTGCTCGATACCACGTTTCGTAATGCAGTCATATCAAGCATGACGCAGCGCGCGTGTGCCGGGAGATATCCAAGTCTCAGCCTGGTGAAGGAGGTCTATATTGGAACATCTAAGGGGGCTTTGATAAGGAATCTCCTGGTTGACATATGGGTTATAGCACGGCCAACTGTGTTGGACAAGCTACGGGACCCGGCATCCGAAATGCACAGAGACTTCGTGAACGACCTACTATGGGCATTCTTCACGTCGCCCCAATCTTGTCCGGCAGACGAGAAGCCGTGGCTCACTGATCCACATCGCTATCTTCAAGCTGTCGGGCAGACCGTGGTGGCTATACCGTCCAATTCTTAGAGGAGGATGACCGCCTTTGGCACTTCTTCTATTCCATGACCTTTGTGTTGGTTATAGTAGGCGCACGCGTTGTTTTATCACGTAATCGAACTTTACCGTTTGAAAGCTGCTATGTGACGGCAGCGTTAATGTTAATATCACGGTACACATCATAGTTCGACTCGGATAAGGAGACCCAGGCACCGTATCAAACACTATCAGCCATCGTATGCACTTATGTAGAAACATGGCTACTAGTATAGGATAAGCTATCATTCATCGATTGCAACGCTCGATCAGGAACGTGTGACCCCAGCACACATAGTGATGCTACCGCCAATGTGTTTACTTATTGCGCCGCTCGATCGGCCTCTTCCAAAGCCTTGCCCGCGCTCATCTTGCCTAGTATCTCAACTTCCGGCATGAGCGCTGGGCTCGCATTTTCGACGCCATCGGTGTTTCCATCCCACTTCAAACGGATAAGAGCCATGCCGTCGGGATCGTTAGCATCCTCTTTCTCTGCGACCAGGATGATGTTTCGATGGACGGTAGGCCTGAAAGCACATTGTCGTGGATGTGCTCTGCGAATATCGGCCCAAGGATCGCTTGAAGAATGCCAGTTCCCGAGCATCTGTAAGCGAGACTCTTCTGTCCTCTTCATCTTTGCCCATGATGGCTCGAGCATGGAGCTGATGGGTATGGCTATGCAGAGTCAGCTAACGTGCAAAGTCTCGTGCATGAGCACATTCGCTAGGTACCTTTTTTCACCAAGCTATACCACCCGTACACTTTCTTGGGCAACGCATCCGAAGTGGCAAGCCCCTGCGTTGGTTTGTCATCTTTGTCGTCATCATCCGCATACGGGTCATCCCCACCCCACTCCTCAGCCTCCCGTTCCTTCAGATCGAACCAATCTTGGTTACCGATGTCGATATTGGAACCCCATGAATCCGCCTCGACATTGCTGCAACGTCCAACGCCTGGAACGTCTTCCTCGTCTTGGCTCGAGTTGAGCAGAACGACTAAGACTCCGTTGTTGTCGAAGTCCTTTTGGTCGGCTACTATGAAGTAGAGCGGATGAATGGTATCGTCTTGGTCGCGTAGCTCGATGAAGTAGTCGTAAACGTCTCGCAACGAGCGACCGCTGAAGTCTGGCTGCGGAGCAAATTTAGACCTCCCCGTACTGAGCTCGCCTGTGTTGATGCTTTCTTCAAGCCGTTGGCTGTCTGCTGTGTCTAGAGCAGCTGTGTAGAAGATGGCAAACTTGAAACGATTTAGACCATTCAGTGTGGCGCGGTGGTATTCTGTATTCGGCGCTTTCTTAGGGAGTGTTTTCGCGAGGTCCTTTGTGGAAGACATATTGTGTTGAGTGGTCTGATTGAGGGCAAAGAGTTGGTTTGGATGAGGTGGACGGGTAGATAGAAACCACGTCTCAGCCGTAGTTTCCAGCTGGGTCAGTTCATGCAACTGCGAATGCGTGACGAGGAGCGCTATAATGGGGCGAGCCTTGTGACCAGAGATGGCCCTGCGTACACTATTGTTGCTCAAATTTTAGCGTCGCAGCCGGGCGTAAGGCGATGATGCGAGGTACGATGAGAAGCCACAAGTGGGGCAGGGTCGCACCAAGCTTATGTGTGGTGCTGCACACTACCTAGGTATGATGTCAGAGATTGGCTGTCATTGGAGATCTCACTGGCGGGCCGAGCCTTCCCGTTCATCTACAGCCTCTTACTTCCCGCACGTCTTGACAGTAATGTACGACAAGTTCGCTTTCTCTCGGCCTGTCCGATGAAAATGTCTCAGTATGCTGACGACTTAGTCCTATAATCGAAGGTTGTACCATTTGTAGACATGGTTAAGTCAACTACTGCTGACCTGTTAAGTTTATCAGCTGTACTAAATACCATGGAATCAAGGGCATTGGCCAGTTTTGACCGGGATCTCGATGACAAGGCAGATATATGGCGAGTTACGGCTTATTCGCAGCAAACCTTCGGGTAATCGGCGTTCAAGTTGCTATACCGGTGAGATTAAGCCCGCCATCTCAGGCCGTCGTATACGACAACTACAAGCAGATCAATTTCCGCCCCATTCTTGTAATCTCTTCCCGAAGCGGCTCCAACTGCGGTTCTGCAGATCATTGGCAAGGTTTTGAAACTAGTTCAAGAATTCGATCATACGATTGCATTGACCATGTTCAGCTGCGAGTACAGAAGAGGCCTCCCAATACTTGGGCAGGGTTGACATGGGCATGTAAATGGGGGCCACGACGAGTATATAGAAGGCAGCCTCGATATCATGTATTCCACACAACAGCCGTTTTCAAACACTTGAATACCTTACCACACAAGCCATCATGTTCAAGACTCTCCTGATTTCCGGTCTGATAGCCTCCGGGCTCGCTGCACCCGGCATGATCTTCAACTGTGGCGACAACCTCCAAGGTAAACCTCCCTGCATCCCTGAAAGTGCTTTATACTCAACTTGGCTCAGATATCTGCAACAACATGTGCTGGGGCGCTTACTGCACTCGACCATCATTCGGAGTAACACTGAACTATGACCGCTATGGTGGTACTGGAAATCGTGACAGTGCTATCGGAAGAGCCCGTCAAAGATCAGCTGGCTGTCTTCCTAGGCCCAACCGTTGCAGCGTAAGTCTCCCTCCCCTTCGATCAAAAGAAGGACTGAACATCCTGACGTCTACGTTGATGTTGGATCACCTACTTTGCATTTTCTTCATCTTGATGTAGACTCCAGTGTGTTCAGTATTTTCCTTGAATGAGTGCATCAACTTTCCAAAGGATTCGCTGACCCACTTATAGACGCGCGGTGGTAATCCACGTGCTGGCGAGAACTGCGACGAATATCCATTCGCCAGTACCTCTGATGCCGATGCGCGTGGTCAAGTCACCAAGTGTGTCATCAACAGGCACAACGATCGTCAGGGTAATATCATCCAACAATACACCACCGGCACATGCAACAGCCAACCCTGCCAGTTTATCGTCGGCTTTGGCAATCCGGCCGCAAATGGTGTGCAATACTGTCAAGCGTACAGTGACCCTCACGGCCAATGTATCAATAACCAGACTGCCCAAATCTACAAAAACGGCGGTCCAGATGTGCGACCAGCAACGAAGAAGCGCTCTGAGCTTGAGCCTATCGCACAGGCCGCGCTATTCCGAATGGCTAGTGGTATGGAAGTGTTGTTGCGTAAGTCTTGTTCTTATTCCCCTTGGTTTACTAGTGCTAACATTCCTCTAGCAATCGACACTGTACTCAACAGCACCTGGGTCCACCCCACTCCTCGCAACATGACTATGAAAGCATGGGTCGAGGAAAACGACGAGGACGAAGACCACATTGCCTGGGACTTTGTCGAGGACTTTGTCGCTACTAGGCTTGACTAAAGCCGCTTTGGCACTTCCCCATTGTTCAGCCTCGCAGGTTTCTCCGTGTTTCCCGAAACACTGACTTTCGTTGAAGCTTGGTACTGCATCAGACTATCGTCACTTATCCGATCCCTTGATGCGATTGCATATTAAAACTCAACATCGTGGCTCGGAAAACCCTTTCTTTCTTTCTCTATCTACCTAGGTATGGATCATCAGTTTGTAGTAAGCAATCTACTACACCCAATTCGCGCCTGACATGTCATCATCCTCTTTATCCTCTTTATCCTCTTCATCATCACTCTCAACACGGCCCTCCTCCCCAGACGATTCAATCGACTGTGACTTTTTGATGGTACGGAATTTGACGACACGTTCTCTTTTGGGCGATAGCGTCTTCTTCTTCCCTTTCGTCGCAGTAGCTTTGGTCTTGGTAGTCTTGTTTCCCTTAGCCTTAGTAGCCTGCTTTCTCTTCGTAGCCGGCACAGCAGGTTCCGCTGTCGTGATACTCTCGGCGCTTCCCAACTCACTGTCGTCCGAATCGTGAGCCGCCACTTCCGCCTCCTTCTTGACCTTTCTACCTTTGGTTCCGCTATTCTTTGCTACTCTGCCAGTCTTCGTCTTCTTTGTGTTGTTCTTTTGCTGTTGCTTGGCCCCCGTCTTTCTATTGCCAGTAGTTCTAGGCTTCTTCACACCTTGCGGTCCAGACTTCGTGCCTTTAATAAGAACACATATAGCCCTAGCGCCTCCCCTCTCCTTAGCTCCAGGCTTAGACCTTGGTTTAAGTGAAGGTGACTTTGACTGTCGCAGCGCTGCCTCCTCGGCGGCCCTCTTTCTAGCCGCAGCCTCTTGGGCTTTCCGCAAAGCATCCTCGTTAAGGCTTTCGCGAACTCCTGCTCGTCTCTCTCGGGTAGAAGCCGCGGTGGCAATGATTTTTGGAGGCATAGCGTGGAATATTCAATGACTGAGACCGGGATCGAGGTAGCGGCTTGGTCTTGAATTCGATTGGGTGTCACAAAGTAATTGTGTTCCGAAGATTGGCGAATGACTTTGTAATTTTGAACCGTAGACGGGATACTAGGCGCGAACTAAATAGCCCTGTCTTGTGTCGACCGCCGCATGCGGCCGACATGGTCGCGAACAAAGCCATGCCAAAGAACCACAGAGGTTGAAGTAGATCCACTAAGTGATTATGGCGAAGATGCTTTGTTCCGAGACGTCAAAGATCGAGGACACTGTTGCGAATTAGAAGTCAAGTACCGTGAGAGCCGACTGCTTTGCCTTTGTCTGTGAGTTAGAGGGTCTTGGGCACATCCAACTGTTACACGTAGACGCGCAGAGTCAAGCCAGCTACCATTAGAACAGATAGGTATTGAGGGTATACTACCAAATGAAGATACATGTTATGACACTTCGTGTGCCTTCGCCTGCCATGATCGTGATCGTAACAACCTTGCAAACACCAAAAACGCGCTTAGCCGCAACAAACGCCAACAATACCGCAAGTCGTACGCTCATGTAATGATATGCTAAATACTCGCAATGCAAAGCGAGACTAACCAGCAAATGCAAATCGCTTAAGGTTAAACAACGGTTTTCGGGGCGAGCACTCGCTTTCGGCTTCGCTATCCGGAACAAGGAGGTCTTCGCTCCCCTTCAGTGATGATCTCCTCCTCTTCGCAGGCGTCATAGGGGGCGGTGAGCTCGCGGCTATGACTGCCTCGGCCTCTATAGCCGCCTCTACAGCCGCCCAAGCAGAGACTGCAAGTTTCACGTCTGCATCTTTCTTGGACGGTGTTCCAGGGATGATGGGTTCCTCATCGGGCGCCGAAAAGGTTGTAAGAGCAGAAGCTTGAGATGGTGGTGTAGGTTGCCATGCCTCAGTAGGCCGACGGTTAAGACGACTCTTACTAGCTCTTGGTATACCCGGTGCTGGTGAGGGAGACTTGTATGTGAACTTTGATCGCAGCTCACTCATTGTGGATGCGATTGCAGCGCTGAAGGCCGTCTCGGGCTCGGGGGAAGATGCCGGCGTGAGAGTGCCGATAGTATCTTGTGACTGCGCGGTGCTGCCCCTGGAGAAGACGGTCGACTGTGATTCGCTCCTAAAGCTGGACTGTGTATCACTGAAGACCCGTAGCTTCTTGGGGGCAGACGCCGCTTGCTCTAGATCAGCCACTTCGGCCATAACCTCCTGTATTGAGTCATCCGAATATAGCTCGAAGTCCTGGTCGGTCTTCCTCCTCCTACTCTTCTCTCGGTGTAAGGTTGGGCTTGGTTCCGGTATAGAAGGTGCGAAAAATTGGCTCCGCACAACACCCTCGTCGCCAGCGGCGAGTGTCTCGGAGACGGAATCGGAGCACAGTCGTTGTCTCTTAGAAGGATGCGGAACCGAACGTCTACCCGCAGTTGGATCAGTCATGGTGCGTCGAGGTGGTTGAGGCGCCGTACTAGGCGTCGGAGGATTCGGTCGTAAACGGGAGATTGGAGCGGGTACTGCGGCCCATCCATTTGACTCTCTCTGTTGTTCCAGCAATACTTGCTGACTGGGTGATGGTGTGAAAACATTTGGCGACAATTCGGCCAACGGCGTACGCTTAGGCTTGAAGAACGAATCAATCGGCTTTGAGCCTTTGGCGTCGGGGGTCTGAACAATCGTCGAAGCTCTCCGAGAGGGGCCAAACGATTTTCCGCCAGGCCTACTATTGCTGGTGATGTTCATGGGAAGTTTTGTGCGTGGGTATAGGTCACCACTTGCAACACCCATGGCGAGGTGTGCAGGTACCTCCTCTCCGATGTAAGGCATATCAGCGAGATCGACCCCTTCATCGAGTGGTGTGAGATTGACCAGCTGCTTGGCGACCGGACAGTAGACCCATTGGTAAAGGAAGGTTTTCTCGGCCTGGTCAAACAATTCCAAGAAACCAGCGGGCACCTTGAGCTTGCCGTCGTATTGCGCAGCTTTGACTAGACGGTCGACAGTCTTGTGTTTCCGCAACATTCGATGGGCAGTCTTCAGGCCAAGTCCACCAATGCCTGAGAGATAATCACAACCGCTCAGGATGCACATTCTTCGAAAGTCGGCGTCTGACCATCCCACGAAGCTGACTTCCCTGCAGGCAGTGAAGTGATTCCGGTTGACCTCGATGCATTCTCCGTATTTGTCCAGCTTTGTTATGAGGCACTTGACACCAAAGACGAGTAGATCGGAGTCTTCGGACAAGACCCCATGGATTATACCCTTCCGCTCCAGGTATGCGAGCTGCGAATCAGCTTCGTAAGGCGCGACGACGTAATCGATGTTGTGCTGCTTCAGTTCCTCGATGACCATCCGCGCCATTTCCGGTGTCACGTCCACGCTCTTCTGCAATTCCTGTTGCGCCTGTGCTGTCTTTCCGACCTTCAGGAGTTCCAGCCCAAGTCTCTTGCCCTCCTTTCTTCGTTCCCTTCGATCTTTCTCTGTACCAGCTTTACTCGGTAGGTTGTCTCCGTCGAATACCAGGTAGGGGGTGACGCCGAAGTGGATGAGCATGCGGACGCGGTGCATGACGAAGTCGACATATCTTGGGATTAAGGTCAGCAAATACTCGTCATCCATGGACGCATCAACGCATACTTGGTCGTCGGCTTCTCGAGCGCCAGGTCAATCGCACAGGTCGCGGTAGCGCGGTGGAGCCAGCCATACGTGTCGACGCCTATCGTCTTGCCGGCGTATTTCTTGAGAGTACATGGTTGCTGAACCGACTTGAGTAGCGGAAGGAGGCCTGTTCGGCTGTCAGTGTTGTAGACGGGATGATTGGGTGTACCAACCTGAGATGCCCATCTTGTACCCTTTGCCGCTCACGCGTCCGTCCTATACAACGGGCAGAGAAGCAACAGCTACCGCAACATGGTGGTTTCGCAGTCTGGTGACAAGAGGAGAGACGCCCTTATGCACTGCGAATCAAGCGAAAAAGAAAAGGGAGCGCGTTCACATCGATAGTGTGGAGCAGTCATTGATCGCGGGTACACGAGATGACAGGAACGCGCCCCGCTAACATATGCACTAGTCCACGTCCGACGGCTAGCGTGGTCGCCATCGCCGAGCGCCGATGGATATCCAAAATTTCTTGCGCAGACACCAACACCAAACAAAACGTCAAACTTTCAAAATGGTCAGCAATCGTCTCGACAAGGTGCACAAGAAGATTACGAAGAAGAAGGGAAAGAATCCCAACCTGCACGAGGGCAGCCGAGATACCAAGCGGCTACAGAGCGCAGCGCAGAGAGACGAAAAGCTGAATCGCGTTTTCAGACAACGAAAAGATCAAAATCGAACTTACGGTATGCATTCTGTTTGCAAGCGATTGACTGTATTATCGCTAACTAGTGATAGTTAATAGAGTCAAATCATTCCAATCATATACCGCAGAGCATGTTGCACCACTCAGCGTACCGGAGATCCAGGCCATGATTGAGGATTACTTAGGTCGCGATGACGAAGAGCTGGCCCAACTGAAGGCAGCTCGTCGTCCGGGACGACCAGCAAGCACGCGTCAAAATTTGTTGGAGATTCACCAGAACACCGAGCGAGACGAGTATGCCGCTGGGTTCTGGGTACCGGACCTTGAGGACGAGCTCAACCTGAAGAAGCTGAAAGAGTGGAACGGCGAGTGGGCTCAGTTGGCCACGCTCAAGTTTTCCAGAATCTCAAAGGAGGGTTTCAAGAAGGAGTCTAGCTTCCCGCCCAAGGGCATGTCATGAGCGAATGAGAAATGCATGGATCGGAGTAATTGAAGGATTCGGGCGTTTGGGAGCAAATGACAACAACCGACGTGGACTTGGCGCTACGTCGTAGATATACCCAGAAAAGTTTAATTTACCACACGAAGGCTTACAACATACGCAATTTTCTCTTAGCCACTTGTTTCAGGATCGAATTTGAAGTATCAGGAAAGCGAGCGTGGTTATCTACTTGTACTGTTGGAACGCAACATGCCAAACCTTCAGCCCCTTCGGCCCGCCCCTCAGATACGGAATAAGTTTCCCAAAGTCCTCAGTCTTACGAAACTCCATATGCGCCTCTACACTCGGCCATCCGAAAAACGCCGCAAACAACTTCCCATCGACACCCTCACCCAAACTCTCGTGCTGATGCAGTTCAACGCTCCATCCACCAATCACTCCTTTGGTCTCAGCATTAGGTATCTCGGTTGCGATGGAGCGGAAAGTAGAGAACTGGGAGCTGTATTCCTCTTGTGAGTAGTCGGGGGCGAAGAAGGCGTTTATGCACTCGGTGACGGGCATAGTGAACGGATTCTCGCCTCCAGAGTGCGAAGTGGGAAAGTTGACGTGGAAGATTGTTGGGTCGTCGCCAGATGCAAGTTTTTCCATGATTGTTGCCAGGAAAGGTTGGTAGCCTGGGGTCTTTTCGAATGTTCTATGGTCCTCGATGGATTCCCATTCTACATTTGGTCAGCAAACGTGCAAAGTGAAACCGATTGCGCAGCGATCTATCGGATAAGACATGAAGGGTTACGTACCCACGGCCATTTGCACGGTATCTGGGTTCTCGATCTGTCGGCCCCAGTACAATGCTTTGGAACCGGGTTGTTTGGCAATAGTGCTGAGGGTTGACTCCCATGTTTCTTTCGCTTCACCCGTTGAGAGATCGAGGCCGGGTTTCATGGGTATGTACACAATCTCGGTAGCGTTTTTCGACATTTTGGGTATGCAATTTGTATGGATGTTGTGGTTAGTGGTTTGAGTGGTGGGGATTGAAATAGAGGAGGTGGGACAATAGTAAGAAGTCAGACAATGAGGCAATGAAGAAGTAGAGCTATGGTGTTGTTCTGTCGCATCTTGCTACATGCATACGATGAGCTGTTTGCCCCACACCAAGCTTGACGTAGGGAAGGGCCGAAAGTGGGGTAACAAAGCGGAACCAGACACGATCGAGGCCCTTCCGATATTCCACCCAATCCTTCCGCGTCCTGAGATTCATATACAACTGACATGGTAGCAACCCGAGAGCCTGCAGCAGCATTTGGTAAGCGAACCTAGGTATCGCAACTTGACCTCCAACCTTATCCACGCCCAAGTACTTTCCATCCCACACCCAGATTGCTTCTCAGTTCCAGCCATGCTTGTTATAACAGCTCCCCAAGGTATCAACACTACCATCACACCAGAAGAAGAGCTCCTCTCAACCCTGCGCAGTCCCGTCATCTTCGTACACATGTGTCGCCTCCGCCTTTCAATTTTTGCGCACAGGTGACACATGCTTTGGTACCGCAACCGAAACATTGCCTTGAGAACTCGTCGAGTATTCGAATACAGAATGCGCAAGTATGCTGGCCTTCAACCCTAATCCACAACGTATCATGGTCACAGTTGGATCTCCTCGCTCGTGATCGTTCTGCTGCTGTGGCCTCGTACTGCTTTGCTGCATGTTCCTTTGCCGCGCGCTTCCTCGATTCCTCTTGTCTTGCACGGTGAGCTGCTTCTTGCCTCGCACGATGCTCTGCTTTCCGTCTTGCACGAAGCTCCGCTTGCTCTCTCGTACGACGTTCTGCTTCCTCTCTCGCACGATACTTTTCTTCTTGTCTCGCATACTCCTCTGCTTCTTTTCTCGCCCAATACTCTGCTTCCTCTCTCATGCGACGCTCTTCTTTCTGCGTCGCCCAGTACTCTGCTTCCTCTCTCGCATACTCCTCTGCTTCTCTTGCTGCTTTCTTTGCTGCCTCCCATCCTGCTTTTTGTTCTGCTGCCTGTCTTGCTTTTTGTTCTGCTTCTCGCTTCGCTTTCTTTCGTGCTTTTCGGGACTCCTTTTCAGCACGTTGTTCAGCCTCCCATGCTTGTCTTGTCTGTTCCCACTGTCGGGCCTGTTCAGCCTTTTCTTTCGCAAGCCGTTCTTTCCTCGCCTTCTCAGCCAGCTCAGCCACAAGCCTTTCGCGTTCTTGATTTTTTCGTTTCGTGAGGTCATCGTTCAGCTGTTCGAGCCGTACCCTTGCTTCGTCTAGGCGTATCTGCTTGATCCGAATGGCGTTCTCCGCGTTGATTGTGGCTAACGTGATGTCGCTCTTCTCTTGTTCACTCAGTCTGTTGCTCAAGAAGGCCAATGTGCCCGCTTCCGACTGATTGTCGTTTGCTAGCTTTGCTCGATTCTCAAAGACATTCCTGTTCAGGCACTCGAGTTCGGCTTCAAGAGACTTGACAGTGTTACGACATTGACGAATCTGCTCTTTCTGAGATCTCTCATAGTTTAGCCACTCTTGTCGTATCCGGTTGCTCTCTGCTTGTGCACGCGCTTCCCTTTGCGCTGGTGTCTCGTTTTGCGGGTGCGGCTGAGGGTTTGGCTGTGATGTGGCTGGAGATGGAGCGTAAGGTTGACTGCCTGAGGATGAAGCAGTTCGTTGTTGACGGTTGCGATCGTATTCGCTCCTCTTAGTCGCATCTTTGAGTACTTCCCATGCTGCGTTGATCTGTGCCCGACGTTAGTACGGCTCACTCGTCAAAGCACGGTGGCCTCTCCGCACAAGCTGAATCGTCGCGGTCGCATGTTGAGATCCGATGTTCTTGTCCGGGTGATGCAATAGTGCGAGGCGGCGGTATGACGTCTTGATCTCGCCGTACAGCGCAGAAGGTCGCACCCCCAAGGTGACGTAGTAGTCTTGCGTGGGAAGTGCGGGAGCCATCTCCGTGCGGACTACCTAAACAGGTGCTGCTGGGAACGTCGCGTGACCTATAGGTGCTGCATTCGAACGGAGGGACGTTCGAATGTACAAGCGGTATTAGCAAGATGCAGTAGTTTGTGTTGTCACAATCTCGACAGTTTGAGAGCACGGCAGTTGCAGCAGCAAAGCTGTGTTCCGGTTTTGGACGCGCTGTGGGGTTCGCGACGCGTTTACAGACCGCCAAGGAAAGAGAGAGCAAGAGTGAAAGTAACCGCGGGAGAGTTGGAAGGAGTCACCGTCAGTCAGTGAGCTAATCAAGGCCAATCAATATTCACGCTTCCCCATGCTCTATCTATGCAAGATGTATTACATTTTCCTTTTCGACCCCCCATGCATGCAATCGCTATCCAAACGTCCCAAATAACAAGTACGCTTAATCATACACAATCATAATCCAACACCGATATCGACAGAATGTACTACTCAATTGACCTTTGTGACCTTGATCCCACGGTCGAGAAGGGCATTCTTAAGACCCTTAGCGACCTGCTTCCTTGTCCTGGCGGTCTGTCGCAAGCTATCAATATTGTCGTCAACCAGGTCGCTCAAACGCGCGATCTCCTTGCCCGATGTCGGACTGCCTTCGGGTGTGTAAAACAGGCCATAGCCCTTGCTGGGCGTAGGCGTACTCTCAACTTCGGGAGTTAGAGCACGACGGCTTAGATCGGTCAGGGTCATCTTGTTGCGGTTGGTAGGCGGGGTGGCGTAAGGCGTATCGGCAATGCTGCGGCGGAGATCCGTACCGCGTGACCGTCGGGGCGTACCAGCGTTGCGTGATGAAGATGAGGAAGGACGACTGGAGTCTGCGAGGCCGATCTTGCGCAATTGGGCCTCTAGGACGAGGATGTCGTTGTTCTTCTGCTCAGCAAGATTGGCCAACCTGAGGACTGTCTTCTTGACAGCCTCCATGGAAGGCACTGACTTTGTGCTGCCGTTCTGTGCGTTGTGGGACACCAGACGCGAGCGTAGGACTGCGACTGCATCTTCAGCCTTGCGTAGCGACGTCAAAAGCTGAGCATAGTCGTTGCGCAGAGCCTTCTGTCCATCGGCAAGCTCCTTTGGCAATGGTGCCTTTCGGAGAGCTTCTGTCTTTTCGGGGTCCTTGCGATTGATGATTTGGCGGCGTATGTCATTAAGACGAGTCATGAGCTTGGCCTTGTCGTGAAGAAGACGAGCGAGCTGTGTGAGCTTGAGGAGCACATCCTGTACCCGCCCTGCATCCAGCTCTTGTTCAAGCTGATCTTCAAGAGATCGCAAGGCTTGAATCTCGCACAAAGTGAAGTTCTCGAACCATGAGCCGTGAGGTCCCTGGTCTTGGACATCATCCAGCATACGTCGATCGATTTGGTGACCAGTCTGGGGCTGTAGGTGGTATTGTGTAAACGACTTGATAGATCGAGCGTTCCAGCCAAGTGCATCCACCATACCGTTGATGTCTTTGTAAATCAACTCGATCTGAGCGGCGTGACCCGTCTTGCTAGGTGATTTGCCACCAGTGTAGTTCTGGTATGCGACAAACTCCTCCAGGTTCCGGCTCGGCTCGATCGGCTGCGCAAGCTGTGCGCGTATCCGCTCGTCCTCCTCATCTTCAAGATCGGAGACCTGTGGCTGTGGCGTGGGCGGCTTGGACCCCTGCATGGATGAGCTCAATGAAGCACCCGGTGCGACCAAAGGTTCTCGTCGGAGACGAGAAGCTGAGCTCGAACGAGCTGGACTAGGCGAGCGAAGGTCTTGGGCGCGGTTCGTCGGAGGCGGGAAGTTCGGTTTCGCAGGCATCGATGACTGATCGGGTTTACCAGAGAAGGGGCCTTTGTTCGGTTGCTGACCGAACAGCGATGAGCCTGAGAACGATGGTTGGTTGGCGGCAGGTTTCGAGGCCTGAGCGAACAAAGAAGGCTGGGCTGGTGAAGCGCTGCTTCCGGACTGTGATGTGGCGCCGGACTTCACTGTGGGAGGAGTCGGTGCAGGGGGGAAGAACTGCCGCGACTGGTTGACACTGTCCTGGAAGCTCCAGGTACCCGCCTTCGCGGCTTGCGGCTTTGTTGTCTTGTTTGGCGGGTATGTGTCGTCGACTTCTTCAACCTCCTCATCGTCCTCCTCATCAGAGAAACCTTCCTCATCATCATCCTCTTCGCTCTCGTCGTCATGGTCGTGATCATGTTCTTCCTCGTCTTCGTTGTCAATGGGAGATACATCTCCAGACGAACTAGGTGCTTCCACCTCGACGCCAGGACTACCAGCGAGCGGAGGCAAATCGTCGCTAGTCGAATTCGGCAACTTTGTGTTGATGAAATCTGGAGGTAGAGGTGCGTCCTCAGTTTTCGCCGGCTTAGCCTTGGTGAAGTCTGGTGGCAAAGGTGCGTCGTCCACCGGAGTAGCGGGCTCTTGCACAGGTGGTGCAGCCTTGGGGGTTGCGCTCTCCCTTGCAGGAGTGTCACTGGGGAATAACGACTTCTGCTTTGGCGGGGATGCTGGTGTCGTGGAGACCCAACTTGGGGGGTTTTCGCTCGCTGGGGTTGCGGGCGGCTTCATCCCTGTCTTTCCTAGCATGTTGGAGAAGTCACTGCCGAAGAAGGAACCGTTGGCAGGAGCCGCAGGCTTCGCTGGATCGTCCTTAGCTGTACCGTCACTTGCAAAAGTAGTGCCGAGCTTGAAGCCACCTGCAAGGCCGAACAAGCCTTGGGACGGCTGAGCTTGTGGTGTAGGTGTAGCTTCGTCCCTCTTTCGGTCGTTTGCCTCGCTCGCATCGGAGTCCTTCGACTCGAACGAGGCCGTGTTGAACGATGACTTGTCTTGCTGTCCAAAGATCGAGCTGCTTTGCTGAGCGGGCGTAGTCGCCCAGGAGGGTAGCGAAGATCCAGTCCCAGAGCCAACGGTGACAGTAGAACCAAAGCTTGGCTCTGTCTTCAGACCTCCAAAGCCAGATTTCTGCTGCCCTTGCCCGAGTGCTCCGAACCCGGAGCCTGCTTGTGCAGAGTTGTTGCTTCCAAAGCTCGAAAAGGAGTTTGATCCTCCAGCACTTTTGAATTGGGCGAATCCTGACGAACCACCAGCAGCGGCCGAGAATGGGTTGGATTTTGACTCTGAAGTTTGAGATGTCGCTCCCCATGGAGATGCTTTGCCGCCCATTCCACCTACTGCGCCGAATCCGGAGCCGGCACCTACTGCAGAAGGAGCGCCAAAGGCAGGTTTGGCGGGAGTGCCGATTGCAGAGGGAGCACCAAAAGCTGGCTGAGGAGGCTTACCGATTGTAGATGGAGCACCAAATGAAGGCTGTGCAGGTTTACCGAAAGTTGGAGCAGGCAAATTGGTAGCAGCAGTACCGAATCCGGGTGTTCCAAAGCCGGGCGGTTGGGGTTTCATCAGAGCGGGAGTTGGTGTACCGAATCCGTTTCCAGCGTTGCCAAAGTGGGGGATGCCAGCTGTTCCTGGGGTGCCGGGTGTGCCCATGGACTTGCTGAAAGGGGTAGATGTAGCAACCGGGAGTTTGGACGCAGGCGTGGATGCCCTCGGAGTAGAAGAAGGCGCATGCTGTGTGGCTTCGCTCTTGAAGATGAGACCGGGGTAGCGTTCTCCAGCCTCGATAGATTTGTTCCACATCACCCACCAGGCCGCAAGAAGACCTTCGTGGGTCAGAGCCATGTATGCAGGGAGCGGCCACGGCGCCTCGTTGATCTCTTCCAGGGCGGGAATGGGGCGCAGTATCTTCTCCTTGCTCGAAAGATCAAGCGCCTCGCCAATGAAGACGCTGTCCATTTCCTCGTCTCCATAAGCGGTTCGCGGCACCTGAGCCTTCTTCGTATCGTCCACGTTGACCATCATGAGCTCGTTGCAGGTTTCTTGATCCGGGGAGATCTTGTTGCTTGTGGAGGCAAGTATCGCGATGGAGTCTGCGTGGGAGGAAGTGATAATAAGCATGTCGTCGAGATCGGGCTTCCAGTTTTGTAGGCGTGTGGACGAAATCCGTGCAGGTAGTTGGCGACGTGGAGCTTCGAATGCCTCGGGAAGAGGATCCCAGACAAAGGAATGGTACGTGAAGGATCCCCAGCCCTTGGCCGATTTGATGACGCTGTACTTCTTTTGCTCCGGGTTGTCCTGGTCTTGGTCCTTCAGAGAGTAGACAGCAAGGAATTCTTCAGTTTTCAGCCACGACACGCCGGTCACCTCGTAGTTTTCATCGACGTCTGGAGGTCGAGGAACGATACCTCTTAGATCTCCAGCGGTCATGTGTATAGCGCAGGTGCCATCAATAGAGCCAGAGACTACAGCCTTTCCACGCGCACTCCAAGCGGCGCAGTTGACGTGTGCCTCTCGAATCGTCTTCTTGACGCCCTTCTCCACATCGCATATCTCGAGCTTGCCGTTATCGAGGACTATGGCGAAGTATTGTTCGAATTCGGGGGAGGGGTTTGGGAGGAGAGCGCGAACGGGTGCGTCGGTCGCCAGTTTCGTGTCCGCGTCTTTCTTGCCTTGGCTAACGACACTCGCAACATTGTACGCAGCGACGCCGCCGTCGGCCTCATCAGATGTAACCAAGAAATCTCCATCGGCGGAGAAAGCGACATGGCGGAGGTTGGGAGTAGAGATGGTGATATCGGGCGTGAAGTCTGCTACGACGTCAATGTCGCGCTCTTCGAGACGCGGGTCATCGGCGTTTGCGATGTCATCGGCTATGGTCTTGTTCTGGAAGGCGCTGCGCACGGAGTCTGTGGACGCGATGACGAGGATGTTGGGGCCGGCAGCAGCGAGAAGGGCGGGCTTGGAGGCGACGGAGAGGAGGTTTGCGCACGCAGGCGGCAGATTATCGGCAGGCCATGGCCGGGGCAGGATCTTGACCTTCTTGGGGCCCTGTTTGCCCTGGTTGAGGACCTTGAAGCCGAGATGCTGTGAACTTGTTAGTACCGTCGCATGGCGGTCTGGTGCCAGCTGTAGCTACCTCAGTTTCGACTTCGGGCACCTCAGGCCCAGCCTCGACAGCCGGCGCGGGAATCTTAGACATTCTGCAGGACTTGCAGGCCGAACAAGTTCTGGCGCGTAGGAGGCTCGGCTTGGTGTCGCGCGTCGGAGTTCTCAGCTTATTCATATATGCATCGGAGGACGAGCGCGGGAGCGCGTGCTAGCCTTGGTGTGTTTTGGGAAAGAGCAAACAGGCCGTTCTAGGCTAGACGGACGGAGGTGAAGGTGATTGAAACGGCGGAGATGCAAGGAGATGGTGCCTGGCGCTCTGGATAGTCGAGCGACAAGCATGCGACCATTAGCTCGACGCTCTGAAGCGACGCGCTTTGTTGTTCTGAGAAAGTTCCCGAGCTAGTGGAGCTCATCGCTGCGCCAAGGCTCCATCCAAGCTCCAGGCACGACAGCTACGCAACCTCGCCCTCGCCGCCGACCGCCTAGACAAACCGAGTAGACGCGCGACATCACCACCTTTACCACTATACACGCCGTCTCCGCAGCAAGCACCCCACGCCTCCACCGACACCGCACACCAACACTATGGGCGGCTTCGACTTCTCCAACCACAACCGCAATGCGGCTCTCCACGCCCAGGGCATCCCGCTGCCCAAGGCGACAAGCACAGGAACAACCATTGTGGGCTGTCTCTTCAACGGCGGTGTAGTCATCGCAGCAGACACACGAGCTACTAGCGGTCCCATTGTAGCAGACAAGGTAGGCTCGTCCCCGCCATAGACACAACCACCACCATGGACACTGGTCTGACATGCACCGCAGAACTGCGAGAAACTCCACTACATCTCCCCTCACATTTGGTGCGCGGGTGCCGGTACCGCTGCCGACACCGAGTTCACCACCGCCATCATCTCCTCGAACCTCGAACTGCACGCCCTCTCCACCGGCCGCAAGCCCCGCGTCGTTACCTGCATGACCATGTTGAAGCAGCACCTGTTCCGCCACCAGGGTCACATTGGCGCCTACCTCGTCATTGCGGGTGTTGACCCCACCGGCGCACATCTCTTCACCGTCCACGCCCACGGTTCCACCGACAAGCTGCCGTACGTCACCATGGGCTCCGGTTCATTGGCCGCCATGTCCGTTTTCGAGACACAGTGGAAGTCCGACCTGTCGCGGGAGGATGCCGTCACACTATGCGCAAACGCCATCGAGGCAGGTATTTGGAACGATCTGGGTTCCGGTAGCAACGTGGACGTGGCGGTCATCACAGAGGACAAGACCACTCTGATGAGGAACTACAAGACACCAAACACCAGGCAGCCCAAGCAGAGGAACTACAGGTTCCAGCGGGGAACTACTGCGGTGCTGAACGAGAAGATCATCACAAAGGAAGAGATCAGCAAGTACGTGACCGTACACGAGCTCAAGGATGGCGATGTAGCCGGTACAGCAGAGACGATGGATATAGACTCATAGGTTTTGCTCTAGCTCCGGGGCGATGCAAGATGGCGTTACGAACATGAACGTGTATTATACACCGAAACGGGGTTCCAGACGAACCAGCCGGATAGCTACAAGGCAATATGATGACGATCAATGAACCACCTCACCAGATATTCAAAGCAAGCATTCGATGTGAACGGCATTTAGTCATGGAATCTTTTGTGCATTACACTACCTAACAGAACAATAGAAGTCTAGTGACCCTCAGTAAAACATGGACTCCGCATCGCATCCATCACGCCGTGCCTAACGACATCTCTTCTCGACAATACCAGCACCATGCTCCTCGTACTCCTTCCTTGAGATCCACAGCTGGTGGAAACTGCCCAGACTAGCCAGTATACTGCCGCCAATCCAGGCTGCGTATTTCCTCTCCACCACGCTACCGGGTGCGATGAGCTTGTTCCTAGTGCTGGGGTAGATGGCGTTGATTTCGTAGTTGAGGCGCTCGTTGAACTTGTAGAGCAGCGTCGAGCCACCTGTTACGACGATATTGGAGAGGAGGAGAGGACGTTGGTCGGCGTCGACTTGTTGGACTGCTGCTTGTACGAGTCGGGGGATTGTCTGTTCAGGCTTCGGCGCAGGCATGGTTTCGCTGGCGAGCGCGGCGTTGTGGTCGAAGAGGCCCTCTGCGGCGCGGAACCTCTCGATGCCGAAGACTTGGTTCCAGCCGTCGGGCATTTCGAAGGGTCGGCCTGGCATGCTCTTTGCCAGCTCCTCGTTGGTGCTGAAGCGGCCGGGGCCGGGCCAGACTTCTACGACGGATTCCTTGAAGGACGTAAGAATGCGCTCCTCTTCATTCAGACGGAAGGAGTCGGTCGGTGGTGTCTCGAATGTCTTGTAGGTTGCTTGGGCGGGTGCGCCAGCGTCGACTGGCGTCTTGCTCTTGACCATGTAGTGCGGTGTCAATGGCACTTCAGGCTGGGCTTGCTTGAACGACGTCCGTATCTGGTCGGAGACAAAGTTTCCTGCTAGAGGCGATTTCTGGACACCCTTCCGCAGCACCATGCCGTCAAGCACAGGTGTGACGGATGTATGCGACGCGCCGACGTCAATGATGATGCCCGACGCTTTTCCTGATGCAAAGGCAGCCAATACACCAGTCTTCTGCAAGAAGAAAGCTGGCGTGCCCCAGTCCTCCATGGCGATCTCAATGTACTTTTCCCGCGCCTTTGCGCTGTTCCAGCCTGGTTCCGTGACCAACAGCGGGCTGTCTTCCAGCGGCTTCTCGTTATTTTCTAACGCGTCCATATCCACATCCATGGCCTCCCCGTTCTCGTTCTCGCCATTGCCATCGTTCAGCCCGTTCTTGGTAGGGTCGGTTGGTTTTGCGCCGGTGAGTCGGCTCGTGATCGCATACTCCCACAGCTTGGTTGCTGTATCCCAGTCTTCCACAATGCCGTCTGAGCCCCAATAGTTCTTAATATCGAGACCGCCGACCGGCGCATGTATCGCATTCTCGCCAAAGAGGTGTTCGCCTGAGGATGTTTGGCCGTAAAAGGAAGGGCAGACGGACTTGGGCACGTCCTCGCCAGCGAAGCCAGCGCGAACAGTCGAGTAGCCGGGGTCGAGAACGATCGCGGAGACCTCATCTAGGGTTCTCAATTAGCATGCGCTGCATGTAGAGCTCCGTCGAGCTTCGCGTACCTCCGGCGTACTCTCCCGCAGCCGGTGCGGTCGATGCGTTGGGAATGTTCATCGCGCGCGACTATCGCAATGCGCAAAGCGTGATAAAGATTCGCTTGTATACGTGAGGCCTGATTGACGCGTGATAATGGGTATTCGAGGTGCTTTGGGCGCTGTCCTTGCAGGATGGGCGTTGGTGTTGGAGCGAAGCTGGTGCCAGACGCGAACTCCAAAAGTTGAGGTTGCGGACCTGGCCTCCATCACCGCACTTGTCCCCCGCGCCTCCCCTCCGCATACTTCAGGGGCACATACACAGGGTCCCTTGAACACTGGAAGATGAGGAGATAGTCTAGGCAATACAATGGCGCTCAAATTCATTCGCCAGCTCTACTCGCTGGATACCCTCGATACACGCTTCGTTGTACCGGCCACCGCACCCCCGAAAGAGGCGCTCGAAGAGGCCAAACTTGATCCCGCTGGGCCATTGCCAGTAAAAGATGGACGAAATGGAGACAAGAGTCTAGAAAATAGAAGTCATGCGCCACTATGGTCAACGCCGGAGTTCTACTTCTACTACGTGTCCATTGCAGCCAGCGTGTTCTTTATGTTCAAGTTGGTACTGGATGTTTCCCAAGGTTCGTCCAAATGGGCCCGCAGAGGATGAGGGAAGCTGATCGTTATGCAGAATCCCATCCAAACTATCCGAAGTTTAAACATCTTCTGTCAGATGGCTGGATACCTGGTCGCAAAGTAGTACGTTGCAACATCGACTGTCACATGCCATTGTCTAACTCCTCAGGACAATACCGATGCTCAATACAGCGGGTTCCGCCAGAACATTCCCTACCTCTTCATTGTTGTTCTGCTTCATCCTATTCTGCGCAAGGCCTATGATTCGTTCTGGAGGGCGGGAACGTATATTCAAGTTCGTCCCTCTGCCGGCAATGGCCTTACTATGGGCTTAACCCCAGGTGCTGCAGCGGATGCCCGTATGAACCAGCGCATCTCATTCGACCTATCGTTTGCCGCTATATTCCTTGCTGCCCTTCATGGCTTCTCAGCATTCAAGATTGTCGCCATTCTTTACGCCAACTACTGCATCGGCACGAAGCTTCCTCGACAATATGTACCGACTGCTACATGGATCTTCAACGTTGGGACCCTATTTGCAAACGAGTTCTCAGACGGCTACTCGTATGCCAACATACTTGGCACTTTCCTTCCATCCACATTGTCGGAGAAAGGTCAACCAGCATCCAACTTCGGTCACACTCTAGACAGCTATGGTGGTCTGATACCTCGGTGGGAGGTTCTTTTCAACTTCACCATACTTCGGTTGATCAGCTTCAATCTCGATTACTATTGGAGTCTCAACTCTCGGACGGGTAGTTCCATTGAAGTACTTTACCCACCCACCCTTAGTTCGATATAGCTAATAACATCAAGAAGAAACAACTCGACGCCTCCAACCTCTCAGAGCGGGACCGCGTCACGATACCTGCCAAGCCTACTGACTACAATTTCCGCAATTACTTCGCGTATGCCATGTACTCGCCCCTCTACCTCGCTGGGCCCATCATCACGTTCAACGATTACATCGCTCAATGCCGGTACCGACCCCACAGTATCACGACCAAGCGAACAACAATGTATCTCGTCCGCTTCATTGTCGTCTTGTTGACGATGGAAATCATGATCCACTACATGTACATGGTTGCCATCTTCCACGAGAGACCCGACTGGTCGCAATACACGCCAGCCCAGCTCAGTATGCTAGGTTTCTTTAACCTGAAGCACATCTGGCTAAAGCTGCTCATCCCATGGCGTTTCTTCCGTCTCTGGTCGCTTTTGGACGGTATCGATCCTCCCGAGAACATGGTCAGATGCATGTCAGACAACTACTCCGTCATGCACTTCTGGCGCGGATGGCACCGCAGCTTCAACAAGTGGAGCTTGAGA